CTGGCTGGGATTTCTGCGGGTTGAAGTCGTAAACACCAAGTTTGCCCATGCCTGATGTAGAATTTGGGACTATTAATATATTGAGATAATGGGTGTGTTGGAGGATGTTTTTCCCCCTTCACATCCAGATGGCAATAAAGGGCATTATCATCTGTAGGCTAGTAACTAATGTAGCACGTTATGCCTAAGACTATTATTGTGGTCAGACTAAACTCAATAATGTTGGAATTGCATGTTTAAAATATAAAATGGTGATTTTAAGCACTGATACCTTTAGGTGCTGCTGCACATAAGTGGGGGAGGGGTATCTGAACTAAGTGTATTGTAGTTTGGTTTTTAAATCACTTCTTTTATTATATTCATATTTATTATTGATGTATTTGGTCTGTTGTTTGTATGATTTTAAGATTTTGTAAGTCACTTTGGGTCCTGTGAGGGAGAAAAGCAGGGTATAAATTAAAAATATATATTATTTATTATTACTAAGTGTTTTGAAAATGTTAGATCAGTGTTACATTAGTGTTTGATGTTGTGCACACATGCAGCTTTGCTTTCTTTGGTGCCCTTCTTCTTCTGCTGAAAACCAGGAGAAAAAAATGAGATCACCATACTCGCTAGCCTGTAGATTTATGGGAAATTAATGGAGAAAGTTGGGTTGTTGTAGGTTTTTCGGGCTATATCGCCATGTTCTAGAACATGGCCATATAGCCCGAAAAACCTACAACAACCCAGTGATTCCAGCCATAAAAGCATTTGACAATACAGTGGAGAAAGTTGTTGATAGGGGAATAAACAGGGGATTTGGGAAGGGTGTGTGCAACTGGCAACTGGTTTGGGGACAGCCACAGAATTAGAAATGAAAGGCATTAAGCAGAAGTCATAAGAAAGAGAATAAGGAGTATATGTCCTTAGATCTGCTGCAAAGCAGATATAGTGAAAAGATGCAGCATACCTTAAGATCACTGACTAGTATTAGAGCTATGACCAGTTTTCCAGAATTTTCAACAGGGATTAGGAATCTCATTGCATCCACTCAGTAGTTAAGTCCTAGAACTCAAGGATTGTTTTCAAGGTCATCCCATTCTTCTTTATTAGACTAAGGTGGGCTGAAACACACCTCTTTTTTTCGCCTTGGATTTTGTCGTTTCTATTCCACTATACAGCAGAACTGCCACCCAAGGCTGATTAAAGTGAGTAAGGATTTTTTTCACACCATGTCCAGAATAGTGTGAGTATAATGGGCTAGTGTTGCATTTCCCTTGTGCTTGCCTAGTAGTGGCAAGGGAAAGCAGGCAAAATCTGCTTTCCCCAGTTCCTTCTTTCTGGAATAGCACACCAAACAGGATTCTTTGTGTATGCATGGTAGATGCTTGTGTCCACAGTGACCTCTGCTAGTGTGGAACCTTTACCCTTTTGTCTGTTTGGCCCTACAGCTCCCAAAAGTCCCAGACAGCATGACTGATAGACAAAGAATTATGGGATCAGCAATTTAAAAAAAACTGGAAAGTCAGTTGTCCCAATTTCTTCAATGTACAGAATGTATAATTCCTTTGCCTCTCATATCCAAGGTCCGTTAAATTCCAGTGTATCTGGTCATCTAGCAGCACGCATGGATTTTGACCTATAGTATATTAAATATAGTGTCAAGATAGAGGTGATCATCGAGCTCAATTGGGCCATGAGCGTAAAAATTGCCATGTCTAGTCTTTCTGGCACCCCTCCCCCCCAATGGACACCACACACTCTTGAGTGCAATTGAAAGCAAAGAAAAATGGATTAATGGGGACTACAAAATTGGTCTTGGGCCACAAATGGATCATAGGCCACCTTTTGCTCTCTTTTACTGCAGACAACAACATGGTGGTGACAGATGATAGAAGTGTTGCACTTTAAAATATGTGTTCATAGGAAACATGCATCAAGAATGCAGGAAGTTTGAAATCCAATTGCATGGCTGGTGATTGCTTTAAAAACTTGATTATGTCGCAGTTCACATTGCATTTTGCTCATACCAGCAGCATTTTGTCCAAACCCCCGGTCATACAAAAATGCTCAATTGAAAGATGGCCATCCAACTTCAGTTTAAAGACCTTCAAAGAGGGAGAATCCACTATCATTTAAATTTTATTTATTTCAAACATTTTTACCCCGCCCTTCTCAACCCCTGGGGGGACTCAGGGAGGCTTACAATTGGCAATAATTCAATGCCGCATCATAAAATACAGAATAACAAATATTACAATTAAATATGAACATTAATAAATAAAGATTAAAACAGTATACTTACACTCTGATACACTACACTCCAAGACAATGTATTGCAATGCTGAGAAGGTCTAACAATATTTAGGGGGAATATTTTTTATTGTAATTTGAATCCCCATAGGACATAGAGAAGTCTGCAAATGGAAGTGTTTATGGGTTTCTTTAAGTCTTCCAATATTGTTCTATATGTGCTGCTGATCTAAGTGTAGACAAAATATAAGAATCTTGGGAATATACCCCCATGGATATGGGATACTGTATTCAAAGTTCCTCTCTTCCGTGATACTCCTGCCCTACTCAGTGCAGATCATAGTGGCCCATGCCATGATGGAGAAACAGCCAGAGCCTCCTAGAAATTCTTCTCACTTTGACAGAGCTCTTTGACTCCTACAGACTATTTTTGTACTCTCTAAACCAGATGTTAGGATTTCTGGGAATTGAAGGCCAAAACATCAACAACTAATGGCCAAGAACTCTGTTCCTTGTATGGCATCTCCATAGTCCCAAGCGGTCTGTCTGACTACCCATTTCTGGAGACAAAATGGTAGCAACAAAACAGTAGAAGGGAATTACTTTCATGTTTTACTTAGAGGTCTCCTAGCACATTCCCTTTGTTTATCCATCTGTATTTATATTTGTATAACCTGTATACAATAAAATGCACTAGGCAATATTCCTTTGAAATATTTTATTCCTTTGAGCACTTCTCCAAAACCTTTGATACACAGTGGTATATGCATTCTTGAAATGAAATGAGAAAGAATAGAAGAAAATACTTCCAAATTGCCTGGGTTTTTTTGCAAGAATGTTTACCTGTATGTGTATCTGTCCATACATAGTAGTGTGTGTTTGTATGTGTGTGCATACATGTGTGTTTATGTATGTACATTCATGCACATGTATGTAAATATGTATATGCATTCATGCAGATGAGTGAGTGTGTATGTGTGTTTTGGTGTTTGTGAAACATGATTATATATGTCATAAGTCATTTCAGTTCATTATTTATTTATATATTTATTCGCAACATTTCTACCCTGCCTTTCTCATCTCGGAGGGGACTCAAGGAGGCTTACCTACAGGCAATGATTCAGTACCTTAAAACACAATGTACACTTAAATAAATACTAAAATAGAAATAAAAAGTACATTAAAAACAATTAAAGCATTTAAAAACATTACATTAAGAGTTAAACACATAATCCACGAGCATAATCTGGGCCATTCCAATGGTCATTGCACATTGTTCCAAGTCTATCTATTGCACAAGTTTCTAAAGAATTGGTCACAAAGCCGCGTTTATTTATTTATTTATTTATAACTTTTATATCCTGATCTTCTCTAACCTCCGTAGAGGGACTCAGACCGGCTCACAGCAAGGATTCAATGCTAATAGTACAATCTAAAAACATCATACAATAACAAGTTAAAATACATATAGATTAAAATTACAAATAAGCCAAATCACCAAGATAAAATCATGCCCAACTCAGTCCATATGTGTGGTTGATAACTTTGTTCTGTCGCTGGTCTCAACCATTACTCTGGGAATGCTTCCTTCCATAACCAGGATTTCACCAGCCTCCTGAAGGACAGGAGGGAGGGGGCAGATCTTATCTCAATCGGGAGAGAGTTCCATAGCCGAGGGGCCACCACAGAAAAGGCCCTGTCTCTCATTCCTGCCAGACGCAATTGCGAAAGTGGCGGGACTGAGAGCAGGGTTTTCATATTTTCACTCTCTTGCAGGAGGGAGGGGATTGATCTAATATCCCTGGGGAGGGAGTGCCACAGCCGAGGGGCCACCACTGAGAAGGCCCTACCTCTCGTCTCCGCCAATTGTGCCTGCAAGGGAGGCGGGATCGAGAGCAGGGCCTCCCCAGATGATCTGAAACTCTGCAGTGGTTCATAGAGGGAGATATGTTTGGACAGATAAGCTAGGGCTTTATAGGCTTTATAGTTTACCTTGGGTATCATATTGGGAGAAATAATATAACTAAAATAAAAAAATGTCTTCATCTGTATATGTGTATGCCTGTGATGTCTGTAGGTATATTCCTTTAATGTCTCTGTGTATGCACGCACATATGTATATATTTCTGTGATGGCTTTATGTGAGTGTATTTTGTGTATATTCCTGCAATTGATGTGCATAGGAGTGTATGTATACCTGTGTATTTGCCTATAATGATGTGTGTATGTCTGTGCACATATGTGTGTGTACATGGGAAGGGGAGGTGTCAATTTTCTCCATTTATTTACGTACCCTTCAGGGTTTTGCAAAAACCAATCAGATCCCTTTTTCAAAGAAACTGGCTGTGCAATGGGATTGAGGGATACAAATGAGCCCTGACCCCAGCGAGGGGAAGGCGGCCCCTTTTTCTTTCTGCAATAGAGCACGGAGGAGGAGGAGGAGGCGGCAATTGGGTGGCACTCAGTGTCTGGCTAGCTGGAGTGGCAAGGAGGAGGGGGAGAGCAGCTAGCCTGGCTCCTCCTCGCTTTCCTTCCCTCCTCCTTGCGTTCTGTGCTGGGCAAGGAAGGGGGAGAGGAGGAGAAAAGGAAGAAGACGCTGGAGGCTTGGAGGAGGAGCCAGAGCCTCTGTTGGGGCCGGGTAGGATCAGATGGGGGAGACCTGGGAATGGCAGCATCCAGCTAGAAAAGGAAAGGGGAAGGGGAAATATAGTGGTAAGGGAGGGGGTAGAATTTCTCAATTGAAATCGAGGTGATGGGTGGGGGGGAGGGGATAGTCAGGAAAGATTGTGTGGCTACCAGRTTTTGTTAGGGTGGAGGATGAAGGAGGTGGAATGCCGATGACAGAGGGATGGGGGTTTAGGGATCGAGAGGTACGCAGGGGATGCAAGATGTGGGTGGGAGGAATGACTCAATCTGCGGATGGTTGGGTTCAAGAGGTGCTGTGGTTCAAACCATGGGAGGGATTGGGATTTGAGGTTAAGCATGTGGTGGTGGGGAATTCTGGGGCTCCATGAGCCAGTGTGRGGGGAGGCAGCACAGGTGAGGCAACCAGCAAATGGGCCAGGAATATAGGTGTCTTTGGAGGCTGGGAGTGGAGAGGTTACAGGCAGAAATGGGTCCAAGAAGGAGGTAAGAGGAGAAAAGAGGCCTAGAAGATTCAAAGGATGCTATGAAATAAGGTTTGGAGAAAAGCATATGACATGTTATATGGCAAAACACATTGTAATAACAACTACAAATGGGAAAAAGTGGGCTTTGGTGTGAAGATGATGTGGTGCAGCAGGAGTGTTAGGAGAAGTCAGGCAGTTGTGTTATGATATGGGGCGGGGGGGTTGTCTATAGAAATATATGCTCAGGAAAAGAGAGAGAAGGCTGGAGTCCCCTGAGGAGAAACTGTATGCAGTTGGCAAGTGGAAGAAGTGTGAAGAACTCACTGGAAGCCCCACGGAGAGTAAGAAGCCAAGAGAAGTGTTAGAAATGGTGGGTGGGTGGAATATGCATGGAAAATAGAGGGTTGTATTAAGTAAAAGGGGGCAACAGGTATGGATAGGTTTTGTTTTGAATTTCTTTTATATAAATTTAAGCAAGCCTGCTTAAACTACAGATTATTTGATAAATGTTTTGGCAATGGTTACAAGCAGGATAACGTTTTGGGGCTGAGAGTTGAGGCTCCACTTGTTTTAATTCTGAAGGCTGTTTTTGACTCAGATATCTTCATTCACTATATGACAGTAGCTTTCTCTAATTGGACATCAATTGGACTGTGATCCCCATTATCCCTAGCCAGTCTTGACCTGCTAGGACAGTGGTTCTCAATCTTCCTAATGCAACGAACCCTTAATATGGTTGTGATGATTCCCAACCATAACATTATTTTTGTTGCTACTTTATAACTGTAATTTTGCTACTGTTATGAATTATACTGTAAATATCTGATATGCAGGATGTAGTTTCATTCACTGGACCAAATTTGGCACAAATACCCAACATGCCCAAATTTGAATAGTGGTGAAGTTGGAGGAGTGATGGATTTCGTCATTTGGGAGTTGGGGTTACTGGGATTTATAGTACACCTACAATCAAAGAGCATTCTGAACTCGACCAACAATGGAATTGAACCAAACTTGGCACACAGAAATCCCATGACCAACAGAAAATACATGAAGGATTTGGTATTGTAGTTCACCTACATCCAGAGAGCACAGTGGACTCAAACAATGATGGATCTGGACCAAACTTGGCACAAATACTCAATATGCCTAAATGTAAATACTGGTGGAGTTGGAGGAAAACAGACCTTGACATTTGGGAATTGTAGTTGCTGGGATTTATAGCTCACCTACAATCAAAGAGCATTCTGAACCCCACCAATGATAGAATTGGGACACATTTCCCACACAGAACCCCCATGACCAACAGAAAATACTGTATTTTCTGATGGTCTTTGGCAACCCTTCTGACACCCCCTCACGACCCCCCTCCCCGGGGTCTGGGTCCCCAGGTTGAGATATGCTGTGTTAGGACAAATGCTTCTTTCTGACTTTATGAATCTTTGTACTTTTTTCCTGGAATTTCCATATACCCCCAAAATAAGACAGGTCCTAGTATAATGCATTGGTAAGATGCAGATAATTGTGTATTTGGTGACTTCGTTAGCTCATGAAAGAACCAGGAAATAGCACAGATTGTTAATAACTTGGATGTTTGGAAGAGAGAAAGTGCATGATACAGTATTCCCCGTCACCACTGAAACCACCTCTCATGTCTTAGGGATTGGAATGAAAGATTAGAAAAAAGTTTCAAAATGGTATAAAATATGCGAAATGACACTAGTCCTATGAGCCATGGCAGCTAATGGAAAATAATTATGCTGTCACACATGGGACCCCAGATTTGTTTTCTGGTTTGTTCTTTCTGGTGGGCAAGATGCTTCTGGAAGTGAATCTTGAGCCCCCCAGTTGGATTAACTTTCCTTGGTGTAACAGATTGGTGTTGGGCAGGGAGCAGGCTTGTTTTCCGCTGCCCTGGAGACTAGGATACAGAACAATGGCTTCAAATTACAGGAAAGGAGATTCCACCAGAACATTAGAAAGAACTTCTTAATGGCGAGAGCTGTTCAGTAGTGGAACTCTCTGCTCCGGAGTGTGGTGGAGGCTCCTTTGGAGGCTTTAAATCAGAGGCTGAATGGCCATTTGTCAGGGGTGCTTTGAATGTGATTTTCCTGCTACTTGGCAGAATGGGATTGGACTGGATGGCCTACGAGGTCTCTTCCAACTCTGTGATTCTATGATATACAGGAAGGTTTTTTGTGTGAATTATAGTTGATAGTTATCCAATAAAAGCTCCCTTTCTTCCCAATCTTTACTACTAAAATCAGGAAAGCTGGTTCAGAAGGTGGGAGAAGAGGAATAGATTTGTATGTGACCTCTGTTGTTGGTATTAAGAGCAAATTTCTGGACAGAGTTTAGCAAAGTGATGCATTTTGATTTTTGGATAATAGCTCTCCGGGTGTCCTGAGGATTCTGGGAGCTATAACTCAAGTTGACAATCTATTCAGGTACTCCTCATCCCATAATTCTAACTCTGCCTTCCAGCACCACTCTGCCACCCACCAGGATCTAGTGAATGGATTTCATGGATCTGGTGCAAAACAAATTTGATTTTGCAGGTTTAAAGTCTTGCCTAACGCAGTAGTCTTAGGGAAGACCATTGTGTTGTTTTTGTCATATTATTGATTGTTCCAGAGCCTGTTCAGACTTTAAAAAATAACATTTGACCACTAAAATGAATGATTTTAGAATACATCTAGGGGTACTTGCATCCTTTTTAACGCTTCCTCCATAAAACAATAGCCTGTCAGAGAAACTGGGGTTTCTCTTTCTCTCCAAGCTTCCCCATGTTGTAGGTTTCCTCCATTTCATATTTCAGGATCTAAATGCTATAAAGGCAGCAGATGCTGTAGACCAGGAGTCCTCAAACTTTTTAAACAGAGGGCCAGGTCACAGTCCCTCAAACTGTTGGAGGCCAGATTATAATTTGAAAAAAAAAATGAATGAATGAATTCCTATGCACACTGCACATATCTTATTTGTAGTGCAAAAAAAAAAACCCCACTTAAAAACAATACAATAATTAAAATGAAGAACAATTTTAACAAATATAAACTTATTAGTATTTCAATGGGAAGTGTGGGCCTGCTTTTGGCTGATGAGATAGGATTATTGTTGTTGTTTTGGGCTTTCAAGTCATTTTAGACTTACGTTGACCCTGAGCGAGGGCCGGGTAAATGACCTTGGAGGGCCATATCCGGCCCCCGGGCCTTAGTTTGAGGACCCCTGCCTTAGACCAATGTTTCTCAAACTGTGCTCCTCCAGATTTTTGGACTTCAGATCCCAGAAATCCCAGCTAGCATATCAGCTGTTAGGAATAATTGGAACGGAGGTCTGAAACGTCTGGATGAGCACAGTTTGAGAAACTCTACCTTAGACTTTCGAATCTAAGCGGAGACTGCTCTGGTTAGTCACCAGTGAATGGGAGGTCACCAGTGAATCTCAGGTGCTGTAGGCTAGGTTTCAGAGAAGTGACTGGCAAAATCATCTGTCTAAAAAAAAAAGATGAAATTCATAGGATTGTCATTAAGTCGACAAGCAAGTTGCAAGGTCACACACATCAACCCCCATTTCAATTTATTTTTATTTTATTTATATCTCCTTTTTTCTCCCAAAATGGATCCCACATCTACATTTTGGTAAGGAAAACATGTTTATTTATTTATTTATTTATTTATTACTGCGCTTGTATACCGCTATTTCTCAGCCTAAATCGGCGACTCAACGCGGTTTACAACACTACAAAAAACAACAATATTCAGTTTAACAGCATAAAAAACACATATACAATACAAATTATTGGGCCACCAATAACAATCCAAGTGCATCTCGTAACTAGAATCGCAATCCAAATTCATCGTCCATGATTACCAATCCTTTAATCATCAAAATTCAATTGCACCGGGTTAACCGAATGCTTGTTCAAACATCCATGTCTTCAATCTTTTTCGAAACACCATCAGCGAAGGGGCTGATCTTACCTCTATGGGGAGGGTTCCAAAGCCGAGGGGCCACCACAGAAAAGGCCCTGTCTCTCGTTCCCGCCAGCCGCACCTGTGAAGCAGGCAGGATAGAGAGCAGGGCCTCCCCAGAAGATCTTAGGGTCCTGGTGGGCTGATAGGCCGAGATACGTTCGGATAGATAAGTTGGGCCAGAACCGTTTAGGGCTTTAAAGGCCAACGCCAGCACTTTGAATTGAGCCCGCTAGCAGATCGGCAGCCAGTGGAGCTGGTGCAGCAGAGGAGTTGTATGCTCCCTGTGCTCTGCTCCTGTTAGTATCATGGCTGCCGCCCGTTGGACTAATTGGAGCTTCCGGGCTGTCTTCAAAGGCAACCCCACGTAGAGAGCGTTGCAGTAGTCAAGACGGGATGTAACCAGAGCGTGGACTACCGTGGCCAAGTCAGACTTCCCAAGGTACGGTCGCAGTTGGCGCACAAGTTTTAACTGTGCGAATGCTCCCCTGGTCACCGCCGAAACCTGGGGTTCCAGGCTCAGCGATGAGTCCAGGATCACACCCAAACTGCGAACCTGCGTCTTCAGGGGGAGTGCGCCCCCGTCTAACACAGGCTGTAACCCTATACCCTGTTCGGCCTTGCGACTAACCAGGAGTACCTCTGTCTTGTCTGGATTCAATTTCAATTTGTTCGCCCCCATCCAGACCGTCACAGCGGCCAAGCACCGGTTCAGGACCTCGACAGCCTCCTTAGTAGCGGGTGGAAAGGAGTGACAGAGTTGGACATCATTTGCGTACAGATGACATCGCACTCCGAAACTCCGGATGATCTCGCCCAGCGGCTTCATGTAGATGTTAAACAACATGGGAGACAGTATTGAACCCTGAGGAACCCCACAAGACAAAGGTTGTGGGGTTGAACAGGAGTCTCCCAGTAACACCTTCTGAGACCGACCCTCGAGGAATGAGCGGAGCCACTGCAGAACAGTACCTCCAAGACCCATTCCCGCGAGGCGTCCCAGAAGGATACCGTGGTCGACGGTATCGAAGGCCGCTGAGAGGTCGAGCAGCACCAACAGGGACACACTCCCCCTGTCGAGCTCCCGACGCAGATCATCCACTAAGGCGACCAAGGCTGTCTCGGTACCATGCCCCGGCCTAAAGCCAGATTGTGCCGGATCCAGATAATCCGTGTCTACCAAGAATGCCTGGAGTTGTGAGGCCACCACACGTTCCATGACTTTGCCCAAAAAGGGGAGATTGGAAACAGGCCGATAGTTGACGAATTGAGTGGGGTCCAGTGATGGTTTCTTCAACAGCGGTTTTATCACAGCTTGCTTTAAGCTGGCTGGAATTTTGCCCCCCCGAAGGGAGGCATTAACCACCACCTTCACCCACTCGGCCAATCCCCCTCTGGCCTCCTTTAGAAGCCAGGATGGGCAGGGGTCTAGGATGAATGTGGTAGCTCTCATTCCTCCAAGCACCTTGTCCACATCCTCGGATTGAACCAATTGAAATGAATCCATCAAAACCGGACAAGCAGATGCTCGTGTTACATCCTCAGAGACTGCCGTTAATATGGTATCCAGTCCAGAGCGGATCAAAGCGACTTTGTCTGCAAAGAACTGAGCAAAGGCTTCACAGCGAGCTGCCGAGTCATCAGGGCACCCATCCTGAGTGGTGGGTTTTAATAGGCCTCTGACAACTCGGAACAGTTCAGCCGGACGGTTCTTTGCAGACACAATAGTGGCCGCAAAGAAAGTCTTCTTTGCGGCTTTTATTGCCGCGGCGTATGCCCTTAAAAAGGACACAAACCGTGTTCGATTTGGCTCGCTCGGATCCGAACGCCACACGCTCTCTAGTTCCCTCTTCTTTCGCTTCAACGCTGCCAGCCCCTCGGTAAACCAAGGAGCTGGTTTAGCTCGGCTACTTGAGAGGGGACGTTCTGGAGCGATCGTGTCTATTGCCCTAGTCATCTCCCCATTCCAGAGAGCGACCAGAGCATCAACAGGATCACCAACCGAGGTGGCGGGAAATTCCCCAAGAGCCGTCAGGAATCCATCCGGATCCATAAGCCTCCTGGGGCGGACCAATTTAATGGGTCCTCCACCTCTGCGGAGGTTAGGGGGTGCAGTGAGTCTAAAGCTGACCAGGTGGTGGTCGGTCCATGGCAACGGAGAGATGGATAACTCCTCAACACCGCCCCCTTCCTCCCATCCCTGGCAGAAAACCAAGTCCAATGTATGTCCAGCACTGTGGGTGGGGCCAGATACCTGTTGGGACAGCCCCATGGTTGCCATGGTAGACATGAAGTCCTGAGCCGCTCCCGATAAGGCGGCCTCGGCATGGACATTGAAGTCCCCCAGCACAAGCAGCCGTTGGGACTCCAATGCCAGGTCCGAGACCACCCCCGCTAGCTCAGGCAGGGAGACTGTAGTGCAGCGAGGTGGACGGTACACTAACAGAATCCCTAATCTGTCCCGGTCACCCACCCTCAGGTGGACGCATTCAAAATTTGTTGACTGCGGGATGGGGGCCCTGGTCAGAAGAATGGAATCTCTATAGACCACTGCAACTCCGCCTCCCCGCCCTCCGGATCTCGGTTGGTGCTGCACAGAGAAACCTGGTGGGCAAAGCTGGGTTAAGTTTACACCTCCCGCTTCATCCAACCAGGTCTCTGTGATGCACGCCAGATCTGCCCGTTCATCCAGGATTAAATCCTGGATGAAAGTTGTTTTACCGTTGACAGATCTGGCGTTCAACAGCACCACTTTCAATTCGGAGGGACCGCCATCCTGGTTACACCGACTTACCATATCAGGAGACCGATTTGGGATTACTAATGTTGTTCCACATTCCCTAGGCCGAATTAAAGGTCTCCTTTTCCCGTATCTCCCCCTCCCCACCACGACTTCTATGGGGGCTCCCCGGTTAGCGGAACCCTCTCCCTCCTCCATGACGCATTCGGCAGCCATAGTATCAACCCATAGTTCATTGTTGACTGTTTGATATGTTATAGTTCCAGATTGCCATAAAGTGAATTACACTGTAACAAGGTATGATTAAATAGCAACTGTAAAATTGCTAGGAATCAAAATGGATATATTTTGATTCAGCTTGAGGGTATGTTGACCTGTCATATTCATTCCTATTGTACACTAGAGGAAAATGTGGCTCTTGCAATACTGTTTTGCTCAATAAGGATACTCTAGTAATTGCTTTCTGTCCTGGAAGACTAACATAGTCAATCTCTTGTTCTCTGTTGCTCTGTAGTTTTTCTTATGAAACCTTTGTTCTGTGAACATCCAAGGATTACTTCAGTTCAAGTTTTAGGAAGGAGGATGAGGTGCTTTTACTTAGGTGATGGTGATGGTGATGATAATAATGATACAATTTATAGCCTATATTATGAATTTGACAAGATGTAGTTAACATTTGATGTACAAAACTGTATTTAGGAGACATAGTGGATAATGTCCATGACAATTCCTGCAAATGGGTGTCCCTTGTGGAATTCTTTCTTTTCCTAGCGTTCTTGCATCCTCTTAGTGTCATAGAGAAGGCCTTCTTTTCCCCCAGAATCCTCACAAAGCTAGACCTGTAATGTAGACATTGTATGGTATTGTCAACCTAATACAGGGCTGAGCAAAATGCAACACTCAAGCTGTATGTACCTCTTGGGCTCCAGTCTATATCCCTGAAGCAGTCCAGAAATTTTCAGGATTTTCTTTGCTGCCAAAGAAATGAAATCTCCCAAATTACAGCTGTTTGCTTCCCTTCACGCTTCATAACTGCCTACACCAGAGAGAAAAATAATCAACCCAGAAGACAATCAAAATTGAAATCATGTTAAATTATGGCAACCCAATGAAATTTCATGGGGTTTTCTTAGGCAAGGAATCCTCAGAGTTGGTTTTGCCAGTCTATTCCTATTAAATATACTCCCCAGCAGCTGATATTCATTGGTGGCCTCCTATCCAAGTACTAACCCTGCTTAGCTTCCAATATCAGATGCGATCTGATGACTTTATGGCAGTGGTTCCCAACCTTTTTGTGACCAGGGACCATTTTGACCAGGGACCACTCTCCAGCATTAGTACCAAAAGAGTTACGAACCAGTATTTAATCAACTTTAGATTTGATTTGGTTATTTGTGGTGCTGATTCAGAAAATTGCATTGGATAGTCCACATCAGCTCTTGTTTCTGATATAGAACATATGCCACCCAGTAGTTGCCATTTGCTCGCCCACAGAAAACCATATTTAATAAGCCTTGGCAACATAAGTGCTCTTGTTACTCTTGTTGCAACTGTATAGTAATGGTGAGGCCACGTACCATATTTTAGTTTTTGTGGACCACTGGTAGCCCACAGACCACAAGTAAGGAACCATTGCTTTAAGATATGCAGGCAGGAAGAATGATCTCAGCCCCCTCTCAGTTGACCAGATCTCAGCCACATGTTGTTCATCTGTTGTTTAAAAAACATATAGATGCAGAATATTAAAGGAAGTAGAGACAAATCTATTTTCTATTTAGTAGATGATGTTTTGTCATTCCAGTATAATACATTGGGATATCTGGGAAGTAGCCGGGGGGGGGGGGGGGAGATGGTCCCGAGAAGCAGAAGTTTATGTCCCTTTTATCACTAGGCCCCTTTGGAAGATGCTGGACTTTGCACTCAAGAAGTGCAAGATCATTATTACTGCCTGACCCTTCTTACATTGGGTCTCTCACTGAGATTCTGTGGGAAAGGTGTTTTTTTAAAACAATGTTGTTGTGAGTCTTCAAATTGTGATTTATGGCAACTCTTTCATGGGCTTTTCTTGGGAAAGTTTGTTTGATGGGGATTTGCCATTGCCTCGTCCGCTGAGGCTGACGGAAGGTGATTTGCCCAAGGTCACCCAGTGGGGTTTCATGGTTAAGTGGGGATTTGAACCCTGACTTTCCAGAGCTCTGCTCTCATGGTCAGACCTCTGCCCAATGGCTCTCTTGGTTATAAGAATAAAAGTTAAACAACCTAAGAAGACATTACACTAATTACATAATTCCATAAGCCCAAGGAACAGAAGTTCATGGATCTGTAGTAGGACAGTAGTTTTGCATTCAGAAGACCCTAGCTTTACTAAATAATATAGCATGTCTTTCTTCATTTGATATATATGCTGCCTTTCTCCAAGCCTGTTTTATATCTGGACCCCCTTTATTATGTTATACTCATGAAGAGCATATTCAGTCTGTAGCGTTGGATCCTTGGGATTTGCTGGGATTTGGTTCCAGGGCCCTGTGGATATCAAAATCTGTGGATGCCCAAGTCTTGTTATATGCAGTGGTATAGTAAAATGCGATCCTTTGTATACATTGGGAAAATTGAAGCTTACTCTTGGAATTTTTGGGAATATTTTAAAGTTGTGGATGCTGGAATCTGTGGATATGGGGCCGTGGGAGCAGTGTATCTTACACATTTTTGTCTGGCTCCTTGATAAGTTGAAATCGTCCTCCTCAGGTCAGGTTCCTTAGGAAAGTGATCCTGACTCCCCCATTTTAAGAGAAGAAACAAACTAGTTCTGGTGCCAGAGGATAAATACACATGTCTGTCTCTGTTTCTTATTGTGTCACTAAAGAGGATTTGGTAAGATAATTACATGTACATGTATGTGTGATATAGTATTCGCCAACTCAGGTATTCTCCACATGTGTTGGATTCACACTCCAGCTGGCATAAGTACTTCTGGAGTAAGGGAGAGAGTAGTCAAACTCATCTGGAAGACACCAGGTTGAGAAAGACTAGGTTAGGACTGAGCTTCAAAATCTATTACTCTTGCTTTCTCGTATTAAGGATGCTAGAGATCTTTATAAGACAGACTAGTTGTGTGTTTTATACTGGATAGAAATAAAAACTGACAGGACTGTGGGATTTAGCTAGGCATAAAAGCCTGTGTCGTCTTGGAAGCTGTGCATCGTGGGAATATGAGAAGATGCCTTAGCTTTTGCTTAACAGTGATGGTTTCCTTCATTGCAGCCAGCTGTAATCAGCCTCTTCTTCCATGAGAGCCTTTGCAGTCTGATCGTGTGACCCTTGGAGACTTGAATTTCAGCTGAAGTGGGGGAAGCAAACATTTGGTCAACCACCTCCCCTCATCTTAGAGCTCAAGCTCTTCATTCCGCCATGGCTGACCCCATCATGGACCTCTTTGATGATCCCAACCTCTTTGGTCTGGACTCATTGACAGATGAGAGTTTTAACCAGGGTGCCCCAGACCCCATTGAGGAGGCCCTGGGGTTGCCAGGTGGTGCCCTGGATTCTCTGGCTGGTGGACCCAAGGAACAGCGAACCACCTCGCAGACGGAATCTATTCAAGTACAGGCTCTGCCCCTTCCAAACGCACAGAGTGAAGCTGGGCCCGAACTGTCCCAGCAGCACCAGCCAGGACTCCTGCAGGCCTCCCAAGATCAGGAGGTCCTCAGCCAGGGCAACCCCTTCATGGGTGTGTCCTCCACCGTGACAGCCGTTGCCCCCTCTTCTTCCACCGGTGGACAAGTAACTGTTACAACAGCAACTCCTACCGCCCCAAAGATCGTCATCTTGAAGGCACCTGCTGGCAGTTCAATGACAGGAGCCCATGTGGCCCAGATCCAAGCCCAGCCCATTGGGGCAGCCAATGGAGGCAAAGTCACCTTTGCCAAGGTACTGACAGGCACGCCCTTGCGGCCGGGCGTCTCAATCGTCTCGGGCAATGCGGTGCTGGCCACCAAAGTGTCCCCTGGAGCTGGGACCCCCACCACACTCCATCGGCTGGTGCAGCCCGGCCGACCTGTCAAACAGCTGGTGCTGCAACCTGTCAAGAGCCAGACTGTACCCAGTACTGGGACCACGCCACTTAAACCAGCTGTGACGCTGACTTCCACTCCAGCTCAGGTAAGTCGGCCATAGCAGTCCGGTTCTTATTGTGCTGTATGTACCTTATAGTGCCCCCCCCCCATTAAATTTCACAGGGTTTTCTTTAGGCAGGACATACTCAGTGTAGTTTACTATTGCCTTCCTCTGCAGTTAACCTATAGAAATCTAGTATTCTGAGATGGAACTCTATCAAATTAATAACCAGGCCCAACTCTACTGGGCTTCTAAGATGACCCAAGAGGTAGGGGTATCAAAAGAGGTTCCTTGCAGCTCCATTTGTAAGAAAAAATAAAGTATTTATAAACTAAAAGTAGTTTGTAATTGTTTTCTGAGTAATATCATCTTAAGATACAAAACATGACAGCTTTCTGACAAACAGAATTTTGTATAATACATTCTATTTTCCTAAAATAACAAAGTGACTTTCAATCTATAAAGGCTTTTCCCCAAAAGTTTGTGTGTGTGTTTGTGTTAAAAACATTTCCCAACATTTTTTGAAATTTTGTATCTTTGCTTAGGAAATTTTTTTCAAAAAAATATGTATTTGTAGGAGTGGATTTTGCAATTCTCCTCCTAAAGTGGGAGAACTTATTCTTGGATATTCAGTACCAGCCCTGAACAAGTGCAGTTGCTACACTTTTTGTTTCTATCTGACATGGAGAGAAGTACGGAAAGAACCATATCTTCATGTCTAGATAGAGGATTCTTCTGAGCTGACCTTATATTCATCAAACACAGGTCCAGCCATGCAGGATCTTATCAAGACCTTTCAGATGGATGACTGGTTTGGAAGAAAGAGACAGTTCCAACAAAAGTGGCTGTGGTTAGGGTGCTACAAGGAACCATAGGTTGCCCAATAGTCCAAATTTCTGCTTCCTCTGTTTAGCTATCCAGATTCCTATGAGAGCCCCCCGCCTAATATACAGTCATCTGGAGAGAGCCTTTATAACCATTGTGGCATTATTTTCCATGGTTTCTTTTTTCTTTTTTTGTTTTAGGGAGAGTCAAAACGCATCACTCTGGTTCTCCAGCAACCCCCAGCAGGTGGAAACAACCCGGGGCAACGCCATGTGGTTTTAGGGAGCCTGCCAGGCAAGATTGTGCTCCAGGGGAATCAACTGGCCGCTCTGAGCCAAGCCAAGAGTGTGCCAGGGCAGCCAGCCAAGGTTGTCACCATCCAACTCCAGGTCCAGCAACCCGGCCAGCAGCAACAAATGAGCAGCCAATCTGGAACCCAGAAGATTCAGCTTTTGCAGCAGCCTCCAGCCAGCACTTCGGGACAGCAAGTGCCCCTGAACGTCTCTTCAGTACCACAGGCACAAGTGGTTGGTGGCTCAGGACAGAGGGTGACGGTTCCACTCAAGGTTGTGCTTCAGCCGCAGGTAAGGACTGAGTTTCCACCAGTCTACCTTTAACATGGAATGTAAGGACCTTCTAAAAGCCTTCATGGTTCCTCTGAAAGATCTTGTTTATCTAGTCCCACCCTAGACACCACCACATCGACACAGTGTGTCTGGACTGAAGAATTCCACTCCTCTTAGCCTTGGTTAGGGTTGAAGATATCGTATATACTCAAGAATAGGCCAATCCCAATATAAGCTGAGGCACCTAATTTTACCACAAAAAACTGGGAAAACATATTGACTCGAGTATAAGCCGAGGGTGGGAAAGGCAGTAGCTACTGGTAAATTTCAAAATAAAAATGGATACTAATAAAATTACATTAATTGAGGCAGCAGTGGGTTAAATGTTTTGAATATTTTACATTAAACTGTCATTTAAAATAAGAATGTCCAACTCTTATTAAAACATTATTCTAACTTTACAAAGAGAGTAAAATAATAAATGTAGTAAGAAGAAGAAGAAGAAGAAGAAGAAGAAGAAGAAGAAGAAAAAGAAGAAGAGTAAAACAGTTGAAATGTAATAATAGAGTAAAATAATAAATGTAATAATAACTTTTGTGTGTGTCAGGAGCAACCTGAGAAACTGCAAGTCGCTTCTGGTGTGAGAGAATTGGTTGTCTGCAAGGACGTTGCTCAGGGAACGCCCGGATGTTTGATGTTTTACCATACTTGTGGGAGGCTTCTCTCATGTCCCCATTCGAGTTGAACTCCCTCTGGAGCTGACAGAGGGAGCTCAACCCAAACTCCCTGGATTCGAACCGCTCACCTGTCATTAGTCCTGCCAGCATTGCGCCACCGGGGACACCAATAATAACAATAATAACTAGAGAAAAATAATAAATGTAATAAAATAATAGTAAATGGAGTAAAATAAATGTAATAATGCCAATAATAAATAGAGTAAAATAATAAATGTAACAATAATAATAACAGAGTAAAATAATATGTAACTTTGACTCGAGTATAAGCCGAGGGGGGCTTTTTCAGCCTAAAAAAAGGGCTGAAAAACTCGGCCAATACTTGAGTCAAAGTTATATATTGTTTGACTCTGAGTGTATATGATATTTAGAACCCACCTCAGCGCCTGGAGATCCTTAGGACAAATAGCACCTTTGTACTGTTGACTAGTTATCTTGGAAATGTCAGTTAATCACATTGAAGAATGCCACTATCAATTTTGCAGGCCAGCTCATCACAAGGCAATTCATCGGGACTCTCGGTTGTCAAGGTTCTGAGCAGCAGCGAGGTAGCAGCCCTCCCGTCCTCCAGTGGGACAACCCGAAGCAACTCGGATGAATCCCGCAAGTTAGAGCACCAGAAGAAGCAGGAAAAGGCCAACCGGATTGTAGCAGAAGCTATTGCTCGTGCTCGAGCACGAGGGGAACAAAACATTCCCCGTGTGCTAAATGAGGATGAACTGCCCAGCGTCCGGCCAGAGGAGACAGGGGAGCGCAAGCGGCGTCGGAAGGGAGGGGGTGAGCGGACCCCAAAGGAGGAGCGGCCGCGAAAGGGCAGGGGCCAAGGAGGATCTGGGAAGAGCAAAGGCCGAGGAAAACCAAGGTAGGAGTTTTATGGCAAAACCTATCTCCATTATCTATCATCTTTAGAGGAGGGTGTCTGTTAGTTTCACCTCTTTTTATCTCATTCCAGCACCATCACCCCAGTAGTAGGGAAGAAGCGGAAACGCAACGCTTCTTCAGACAACTCGGATGCAGAGGTCATGCCATCTCAGGCTCCACACGAGGAAGAGGAAAGCAGTATTCAGGTAAGACCTGGAAAGCAAATGGATTTGAGATATACAGACTTGGAAACTTTCATTTTCTTCCCCGCCCCCTTTTTTTGGAACAGCATCTCTCAAAAGCTTCAATAACATCATCATTGGGGCTTGTACTCCAAGAATAGCTTTTTCTATTCTCTGGTTTGTAGTTTATGTCTTTAGTTATTGCAAAGTTTCACTCCAAGATTGGAGTTAAAAATGCTGGAAGAAACATTAACAACCTTACTTATGCAGATGATACCACTTTGATGGTTGAAAGTGAGGAGGAGCTGAGGAGCCTTCTAACCAAGGTGAAAGAAGAAAGTGCAAAAACTGGGTTGCAGTTAAACATAAAAAACCCAAGATTCTGGCAACTGGGCTGATTGATAACTGGCAAATAGAGGGAGAAAACATGGAGGTAGTGACAAACTTTGTATTTCTAGGCGCAAAGATTACTGCAAACACAGATTGAGAAATCAGAAGACGTTTACTTCTTGGGAGGAGAGCAATGACCAATCTTGATAAAATAGTGAAGAGTAGAGACATCACACTGGCAACAAAGATCCACATAGTCAAAGCAATGATATTCCCCGTAGTAACCTATGGATGTGAGAGATGGACCATAGGGAAGGCTGAGCGAAGGAAGAGAGATGCTTTCGAACTGTGGTGTTGGAGGAAAGTGCTGAGAGTGCCTTGGACCGCAAGCAGATCCAAGCAGTCCACCCTCCAGGAAATAAAGCTTGACTTCTCATTGGAGGGAAGTATATTAGAAGCAAAGAGGAAGTCCTTTGGCCACATCATGAGAAGACAGGAAAACTTGGAGAAGAGAATGATCCTGGGGAAAATGGAAGGAAAAAGGAAGAGGGGCCGACCAAGGGCAAGGTGGATGGATGGTATCCTTGAAGTGATTGGCTTGACCTTGAAGCAGCTGGGGGTGGCCACGGCCAATGGAGCTCTGGCGTGGGCTGGTCCATGAGGTCACCAAGAGTTGGAAACAACTGAACGAATAAACAACAACAAAAGTTTCCTAATGGGATTATTCAAATTATTGCTACTCCTTACACACACACACACACACACACACACACACGGATATATTATTTCGGAACAAAGCTATTGACTTCTTTGCTTTAAGTCTCACCTATATGTCCCTATGATCCTTCCTCCCTGTAGAAGCGGCGTTCGAACCGTCAGGTGAAGCGGAAGAAGTACACAGAGGACTTGGACATCAAGATCACAGACGATGAGGAAGATGAAGAGTTGGACGTGACCGGGCCTATCAAGATTGAGCAGGCCCCAGCCCCTGCACCGCCTGTCCCAGAACCAATCCCTGAGGGCGAGACACTACCTTCCATGCAGTTCTTTGTGGTAAGGCGTCTCTGGATGTTCCCTGATGGGGATGTATGTTCTTCTCCAATCATTTTATCACATGGATTGGCCAAACTGGAGTAGGTGGGAGGTTCTGTATGGCATTTGGCAAATCCACGTCATTATGTTTATAAAAGAAGAAAGCACCTGTTTCATAAAATGCATCAAGAAATAAAACAGGAACACACAAGTGGGAAGGAAAAGCACATGCATTTTAAAATGGAAAGCCCACACACTGTGACCAAGTTTAGACAACTCAGTAAGTGAAGAATGAGAACTTGGGCATCCAGTGGAAGTAGGGTTGGCAGGTGAGAAAAAGAGGATGAGACTACAGCACACAAACTCCACCTGTGGAAATACTTTCTTCCTCATCACCCTTAAAGGTACAGGATTCCTGTCCTTTTTGCGCATTGTAACCATTAGTAAAAACTCTTTAACTAAGGGTGGGCAACTGGTAAATTGGGCAGGTGAGTTTCTTTCCCTGGGATGCTCTGAAGATCACACAAATGGAACCAGGTGGGTTCTGCATGCCTTTTTTTTAACCACTTTGTGTGACTTCTGTTTTTTTTTCCCTGCTCAAAAGGAAAACCCTAGTGAGGAGGATGCTGCTATAGTAGACAAAGTGCTCACCATGCGGGTTGTGAAGAAAGAGGTGAGAATTGCTTTATTTGCATTTGTGGGGTGGAATGGGACTGATACTCCCCCTTAGCCAATCTACTGGAATGTGGGGATTCAGTCACAGGAGAACCTCTGGGGGCAACAGTGCACCCCCAACACTTTTTTCAAAGAGATCAGCATTATAACTTAATGGCTGAATTATATGATTACACTCCAGGGAAAACCCCAGTTCCGTCTCCTGGTTTTGGTTTTGTTTTTTCAAATATATATATATATCAAACCACAATTGTATTTTTGCATTCACAGGTTTAATTTTCATTATTTGTGGATTGGATTAATATAATCCTTCTAGGTCCTTCAGTGCAATTCTGTAATTATTTGCTAACAGAGGTTGGCCACGGAATTGCACCCAAACAACTAAAAATTCCTAAAGAAATGTGTTCTCAGATTTTAAAAAATAGTGTTTATTTATCTTTTCCCCCACTTTCACTGAAGTCTTGTGCATTTAACCTCTGCAAAAGTGGAATGCCTACTGTAAACCATTTCAAGTGGTAGCAATTGTTGGGCAGGAAAATGGAAGTGGCAGTGAAAGTTATGAGGTGCATTACATTCTTTAATGGTGAAAGGTCTTACCTGCCTTTTCGAGAAAGAAATTGAGGCTCCATCATAGAATCATAGAGTTGGATGAGACTTCATGGGCCAGCTAGTCCAACCCCTTGTCAAGAAGCAGGAAAATTGCACTCAAAGCACCCCCAACAGATGGCCATCCAGCCTCTGTTTAAAAGCCTCCAAAGAAAGAGCCTGCACCACAGTCCAGGGCAGAGAGTTCACAAAATGCAATGGGGGGCTGCAGGACAGAAGTCATGGTTGTAGGAGTCATGCCCACACATTTCCCAGTTTCTTCACCTATGCATCTCCCCCTCCTTGGCCTTTTAGCACCTAGATTTGATTTCTCATTTTCCCTTGTCAACAGCTCCCCAATGGTCAATTCACAGAGGCAGAAGAATTCTTTGTGAAATACAAGAACTAGTGAGTATCAATGTGACATGCTGTGCGACCTCCGCAATTCTGCTGCTAATGCGAGGGCTGAAATATAGAGGTCTCAGCTATTACAAGGACCCTTTCTTATTAATTTTTACTGTTGTTCAGTTCAGCCTTTTGCTTCCTTGACCATCACAAGGGCTTGTTTAAGATATTCCTCTCTTTCTTTCCTAAGCTCCTACCTACATTGTGAGTGGGCCACAATTGCTCAGCTGGAGAAGGACAAGAGGATACACCAGAAGCTCAAGCGGTTTAAGACCAAAATGGCTCAGATGAGGCACTTCTTCCATGAGGTATCAGAGAATTAGAATATACGAAAAGAAGTCCATAGCAAGCCAGCTCCCTGCTTGTTCCCAGCTTTCTTTGTATGGGTGTGCATGGGTCTGTCAAAACATACAAGGCCTTGCCCACACATTTGCATTCTGTCCCCACAGGATGAGGACCCTTTCAACCCAGACTATGTGGAAGTGGACCGTATCCTGGATGAGTCACACAGCATTGACAAGGACAATGGAGAGGTGTGTTGAAGTTTTGGTTGATTCATTACTTGAGAATAAGCACTTTGTAAGGAACTGATGTCTACCAGGGCTTTCCTGCCAATCTGTCTGCCTGAGTTTTAAAGTCAGCATTGGAGACTTATCTTCCTTCTGCCACCATCCGAGACATTGCTGACCGGGCATACTTGGTGGTAGCACCAGGGTTGTGGAAAGCTATCACCAGGGTATCCATCCCTTCTCTACCTATAAATAGACAAGCATTGGAGCCTAACATAATCCGCTAAAACTTTGATTGTTGACTGTTGTTGCTGAGTTGCTGCTTTAAATTGGGCTTTTCCAATTCTAATCAGTTATTTCTACTTACATTTGGTTTATTGCCTTATTTTTAAAAATATTGGTATTTTATCAATGCAGAAGGGTGGGTCAAAATCTATAAATAGAACAGTGCTCCTCAAAACTAGGAATAAACTTGCCCTGTGTGTCTACCTCTTGAATGTGCTGTAGCCCGTGATCTATTACCTGGTCAAGTGGTGTTCCCTCCCCTACGAGGATAGCACGTGGGAACTCAAAGAGGATGTGGACGAAGGGAAGGTCCGAGAGTTCAAGCGTATCCAGTCAAGGCATCCTGAACTCAAGAGGGTGGTAAGTAGGAGTAAGTGGGTCTAAGGAGATCTCTTTGCCTCCAAGTCTGGATTTATGAACCTCTCTTTTTCTGATTTTATGGTGAAGACACATTGTGCTGCATGGGGACTGCTTCTAACTTTCAAAAGGGAGAGGCTCTGTCTTTGAAAAAAAAATGATGAAAACTTGTCGAATCAAATCCATTCCTTTAAATGCTGTTTTGTTAGTTACAGAATGTCTTCTTTGTCCCTTTAACAATTATTTTACAGGCCCGTCCCCAGGCAGGTTCCTGGAAAAAACTGGAGCTTACTCACGAATATAAGAATGGCAACCAGTTGCGGGAATATCAGCTGGAGGGTGTGAATTGGTTGCTTTTTAACTGGTACAACAGGTGAGAGTGTGGGAAGGGAAAGAACAGAATAGAGAATTAGTACCATCCTTGTCGTTGGCAGAGCTGACTTATGTATTCTGAGTGCTATTTTGAAATATTGCTCCAATCCCAATCCAATTTTCCCAGCTTTTCTCAACCCCCCCCCCCTCACACTCTAGACTGGGGTCTTTTCCACTTTTCCAGCCCCCCTTTCCACCCCAACCGTTGCCAGTTTCAAGCTCTCCTTTTGCACCTCAGTTGTTACCCCTTCCCCAGTTGCCCCTTTCCCACCCCAATGTGTCCTACTTTTCCAGCTACCCCATTCCATTTCCATTTTCAGCTACCCCTTTTCCCATTTCCAATCCTTTTTCATGGTAAAATTAGGTGCCTTGGCTTATATTTGAGTACATAGGGTAGTTCATTCTAGGGCAAGGCTGAAAAATATATTTTATCCTAAGGGCCAAATATGATTTCAGAGAAATTTCTGGACCATTCCCCAGTGATGGGCAGAGTGAAAGGCAAAAGGATAGAAATAAAGCCATATATTAGTATAGACCTCTTACCATCTGTAACTAACTCTAAAGAGAGACATTCCAGCCTTTGGAAATGAAATTTTTAAAATTTATTTACGGTATTTGTATCCGGCCTTTCTCAGCTCGAGGTGACTCAAGGCGGAAAAGACATGGCAAAAGCAGCAAAGTCACCAGGAAATAGGATGTGGCTACCTTGAAAATCTTTGTTTCAGCTTTTAGGGAAGTTGAATTTGATCATGGTCTAAGAGCAGTGGTTCTCAACCTGTGGGTCCCCAGGTGTTATGGCCTACAATTCCCAGAAATCCTAACCAGTTTACCAGCTGTTAGGATTTCTGGGAGTTGAAGGCCAAAACATCTGGGGACCCACAGGTTGAGGACCACTGGTCTAGAGGTTCCCCAACTCTAAGGTTCAGTCTAGTCTAAGGTTCCTATAAAGCCCCAAACGGTTCCGGCCCAGCTTACCTGTTCGAATGTATCTCCCTCTATGACCCACCTGGGAGGTTAGGAGCGTCAGGAGAGGCCCTGCTCTTGGTCCCACCCCCCTCACAAGCACAACTGGTGGGGACAAGAGACAGGGCCTTTCTTCTCAGTGGTGGCCCCTTGACTATGGAACTCCCTCCTCAGTGAAATTAGATCTGCCCCGTCCCTGTTGGCCTTCAGAAAAAACTGAAAACATGGTTCTGGGATCAGGCCTTCAGCCAGTAATGGGAGTTGTGCAGTATGAGACTACAAATTAATATAATGACGACTCGGACCGGCCCTGGAATACGATTTGGATCATGTGATTTTAATTGATGTTTTAATGCTTGCTTTTAATGGGTTTGGTTTAACGTTTTTGTTAATTTACTAATGTATTAATATATGGCATTGAATTGTTGCCTTTATAATGCTGTCCTGAGTCCCTTTCGGGGTTGAGAAGGGCGGGATATAAATGTGTAAATAAATAATAAATAGTTACGGGTATTCCTGTCTTGTAGGTTGGTTGGTGTTTTGTGGAGCTGAGTGATAGTTTGCTTCTGAACTCCTTCCCCACTCCTTTCACAGGCAAAACTGCATCCTGGCTGACGAGATGGGCCTTGGCAAAACCATCCAGTCCATCGCCTTCTTGCAAGAAGTTTACAATGTGGGCATCCGGGGGCCCTTCCTGGTCATCGCCCCTCTCTCCACCATCACCAACTGGGAGCGGGAGTTCAACACCTGGACCGAGATGAACACCATCGTGTACCACGGGAGCCTAGCCTCCCGCCAGATGATCCAGCAGTACGAGATGTACTGCAAGGATTCCCGGGTATGGGAAGGCATCAGATGATGCTGATGATGATGCTGATGATGATAGTAGGACATCAGGATTATGGAAAATAAATAGCAGTGAAACAGGCTAAAAACTACCAAAAAACTTCAGGTCTACTTTCTGTTACTTTCTCCCAATAATAATAACAACTGCAAATTTAAGACGAATATGACACCAAATTAGTAGGAATAGCTAAAACACTGTGTTCAGTTCTGGACATCACGGTTTAAAAGAGATATTGACAACCTGGAAGGTGTCCAGAGGAGAGCGACTAGAATGATCAAAGCTCTGGAAACCATGAATCCCTATGAGGAGCATCTTAAAGAGCTAGGCATGTTTAGCCTGCAGAAGAGAAGGGTGAGAAGAGACATGATAGCCATGTATAACTATGTGAAAGGGTGTCATAAGGAAGAGGTAGCTTCCCTGGAAACTAGGAATTGGAGCAATGGGTTCAAATTACAGGAAAGGAGATTCTATCTGAACATTAGAAAGAATTTCCTGGCCGTGAAAGCAGTTCAGCAGTGGAATACTCTGCCTTGGAGTCTGGTGAAAGGTCCTTCCTTGAAATCTTTTAAACAGGCTGGATGGCCATCTGCCAAGGCTGCTTTGATTGTGCTTTTTCTTTATGGCATGGGTTGAATTAGATTGCCCACGTGGTCTCTTCCAACTCTATTATTCTATGGTTCTATAATTGATCACAAAAACCCAAGCAATCAATGGTGTTGCAAGTATAGTCATCCCAGAGGTGCCTAGGACTTGTAGTTTTATGAAGAACTGTCTAAGCATTAGCGATATTTTCAATTAACCGAACTAACTTCAACTTCTAGGCTTCCTTCTGTAGCCCTTGTGGCCCTCCAGATGTTGGAGTGCAGTCACCATCTTCCCTACCCAGGGTAGCCAGTGCTGAGCAACAATCTGAGCTATTGTCCAGCCAAATCTAAAGGATTAAAACATGCCTAATGAATTAAGTGACAGCCAGTGTGGCATAGTAGGTTGTTGTAGGTTTTTTCGGGCTATATGGCCATGTTCTAGAGGCATTCTCTCCTGATGTTTCGCCTGCATCTATGGCAAGCATCCTCAGAGGTAGTGACGTCTGTTGGAAGTAGGAAAATGGGTTTATATATCTGGAAAGTCCAGGGTGGGACAAAGAACTCTTGTCTGCTGGAGCTAGGTGTGAATGTTTCAAGTGACCACCTAACTCCAGCAGACAAGAGATCTTTTTATCCCACCCTGGTCATTCCACAGATATATAAACCCATTTTCCTAGTTCCAACAGACCTCACTCCCTCTGAGGATGCTTGCCATAGATGCAGGCGAAACGTCAGGAGAGAATGCCTCTAAACCATGGCCATATAGCTCGAAAAAACCTACAACAACCCAGTGATTCCGGCCGTGAAAGCCTTCAACAATACATTGTGGCATAGTAGTTTGAGTGCTAGACAATGACTCCAGGAACCAGGGTTTGACTTCCTGCTGGCCATGAAAACCCATTGGATGATCCTGAACATATCACATATTTCCAGCCCCAGAGAGCCCTGTGATAACTTTGCCTTGGGGTTACCATAATTTGGAGACAACTTGGAAGATACACAACAGCAACAAATGCATTAAGTAAATATCATTTTGTATATGTGTGTGTGTTTTGTTTCTGGAGAAGGGCACCTAAAGTTCTCCATCATGGTCCCTGTGAAATTGCACATATGGTATTTCCTGTGTTTTGTTCCACCAATCAAAGGAACTAGTAGTGTGAACCAATAAAACTATACGTGTCATTGGAGAAAGCAGAATGGCAAGTTGCTTAACACTTCTCTTATGCCTCCAAACAGGGACGCCTGATCCCAGGAGCATATAAATTTGATGCCCTGATCACTACCTTTGAGATGATCCTGTCAGACTGTCCTGAGCTGAGGGAGATAGAGTGGCGTTGTGTCATCATTGACGAAGCCCATCGCCTTAAGAACCGTAACTGCAAACTACTCGACAGCCTCAAGCACATGGACCTGGTAGGCACTGCAGATCTTTGCAGGCAGGCATACATGCAATGGGTTGGAGAGAGCTGCAGCTCTGTTGAAAACAAGTGTCTGGCCCTTAAGGTTTAAAAAACAGAAACCTGGATGTGTGTGGGTGATTCCTGCTTGAAATCTCAAGTGTTTATAGATTTAGTGCTCTGAATAGCTCTATCGCACTCTCAGCCACCCACTCCTCACGTCTAGCAGGGAAATTATATGCAATCGCTTTAAAAAAAAAAGAGTTACCGTATATTCTCAAGTATAAGCCAACTCGAATATAAGCCAAGGCACCCAATTTTACCACAAAAAAAACCTAGGAAAATGTATTGACTCGAATATAAGTCAAGGGTGGTAAATTTCAAAATAAAAATAGATACCAATAAAATTACATTTATTGATGCATCAGTAGGTTAAATGTTTTTGAATATTTACATAAAACTAATTTAAGATAAAACTGAGCAGCTCTGATTAAACCATTATTCTAACCTTCTTCAATGTAAATGTGCTTACATATCCTTCCAATAATAATAAAGAAAGAGAGTATAATAATCAATGTAATAATAAAAATAACTATAGAGTAAAATAATGGAAATGTAATAATAACAGTAATAATAGAGTAAAATAATAAATGTAAGGCACGAACAAGTTCATAAGGGGGAATGCGGTCTTGTAAATAGTTAGACTTGATGGTCCTTATGGTCTCTTCCACCTCTATAATTCTGTGATTCTAAATAGTGATGTTATTTATCCTGAAAGTAGGTGATAAATCTGTAAATTATTGGTTTTTTTCTTGCCTTTTAGGAGCACAAAGTATTACTGACAGGAACTCCACTCCAGAACACAGTGGAGGAACTCTTCAGCCTCCTGCATTTCCTTGAACCCTCCCAGTTTCCTTCAGAATCAGAGTTCCTCAAGGATTTTGGTGACCTCAAAACTGAGGAGCAGGTAAGGGGAATGTGTTCAGGTGCTGTACTTCTGTTGTCAGATTCTCCCCAATCTTTGCATGATCCCCACTCAGACTCACCATTTTTTTTGGTTCCACAGGGGTTTAAAAACGTTTCTTTTTGTTTTTCTCAATATTTATAACTGAGAGCCGGTGTGAGATGATTTGAGTGTTCAAGTAGGACTCTGTGAGACTGGAATTTGGGTACCCGCTCAGCCATGGAAACCCATTGGGTGACCTTGTGTGAATCGCAATCTTGTCAGTCTCTCAGCTTGCCAAGAAAGCCCTATGAGAGGGTGGCCATAAGTTGAAGTAATAGGACAGTGGTTCTCAACCTGGGGTCCCCAGATGTTTTTGGCCTACAACTCCCAGAAATCCCTGCCAGTTTACCAGCTGTTAGGATTTCTGGGAGTTGAAGGCCAAAAACATCTGGGGACCCCAGGTTGAGAACCACTGTAATAGGAGCTTCACATAGTAGCTTTATATACAGCTTTACACACGAGGCCTTTAACCTAGGGCTTCTTTCACTGAATCTTGTCTCACACAGAGATTTACCTCACACTCCTCCAGACGATACTTTCTTTCGCCCACTAACTCTTAACAGGTCAACCTACTAATTCTTTCAGTGTTGACTCATACTTTTGTAATAAAAAATACCCAGTTGATTTTTAATTTTTTCTGACAGAAAGCCCTATGAGAGGCTGGCCATAAATTAAAGTTAACTTGAAGATGCATAACAATAAATTAATATCCTATTTTATATCAGAAGAAATAAAATTTATTTAAAGCAATGTAGAACAGCTTAGAAAACCAATAGGAAGGAATAATATACATAGTCTGAAAACATAATGAACACTTTAGCACTAAAAATACTTGAACTACTTCAAACCACACATGTACTCAGTCTGGAGAAAATAGTTTGACCTCAAAGGTTAAAAAAGAACCCTGCATACCTGTTGGCCATTCAGGGAATGGATTCAAGGTACATCCTCATACAATATATATTCCTTCTACCTGTGGCAGTGATTATTGAGAGATTTTTAAAAGTGCAGTCCAAAAAAGTACATTTTCCAAGTTTAGGTGGCCTTTCGCACTACAAAATTACTGTGATTCCACTTTAACTGCCATGAGTCCATTTGTATGTGAAATTTAAGGAGTGATGTTGAGTGTTCTCAGCCATAAACCTCTAGTACTTCACCAAACTACAAACCCCAGGATTCCATAAGATACAGGTGTTGAAGTTAATATGGATTCATGGTGTTATAATTGCCTGTTGTGTGTGAGCCATTAGCTTACTGTTTTTCTGTTCATGATGTCTCCTTCCATCACTAACCCAGCTTAAGTTCAGCTGTGTCTCGCCTCTCTTGATGGACTCCTTTTATGCTGTTGGATATGTAAGATTAGCAGAACTTCTCCTTTCCAATGGATTACATGAGATACTGGAGACAAAGGCTGTAGGAAGGACTCTTTTCCTACATGTCCTTTAATCTCCACTCCCACCACTATCCAGGTGCAGAAACTACAGGCCATCCTGAAACCAATGATGCTTCGGCGATTAAAGGAGGACGTTGAGAAGAATCTGGCCCCTAAGCAGGAGACCATCATTGAGGTAGAGCTGACCAACATCCAGAAGAAGTACTATCGAGCCATCCTGGAGAAGAACTTCAACTTCCTGTCCAAGGGGGCAGGCCATAGCAACATGCCCAACCTCCTGAACACAATGATGGAACTGCGCAAATGTTGCAATCATCCCTACCTCATCAATGGTACATTTTAGGGGCAAAGGTGGGAATGGGGTGGCAGATGTGCTGGGGTGAGAAACAGTTGTGTGTTATGAAATGTTGGGCAATGATATGTGGCGGTTTTTGCAATGATATGTGGCAGTTTTCCTCACCTGGTGCCCCATAATATATTGTAAGGTAGACATGGACATTGGAGAGGTAACACCTCTTATAATTTAAATTGTTCAGAATGTTTATTCCAAGTAGCTCAGTATAAATGCATAATTTGCATGTCTTTTGATTGATATTGAGGTTGTTTTCCATATATACTTCAGCATAAGCCAACCTTGAATATAAGCCAATGCACCTAATTTTACCACAAAAAACTGGGAAAATGTATTGACTCGTGTATAAGCTGAGGGTGGAAAATACAGCATCTACTGGTAATTTTCAAAATAAAAATAGATACCAATAAAATTACATTAATTGAGGCATCTGTGGGTTAAATGTTTTTGAATATTTACATAAAACTGTCATTTAAAATAAGACTGTCCAACTCTGATTAAACCATCATTCTAACCTTCATTGTAAATGTGTTTACGTGTCCTTCCAATAATAATAAAGAGATAAAATAATGGAAAAATAATAATAACAGAAGTAGTAGAATAAAATAATAAATGTAATAATAATAGAGTAAAATTATAAATGTAATAATAACAATAATAAATAGAGCAAAATAATAAATGTAATAATAAAAATAGAGTAAAATGATAAATGTAATAATAAATAGAGCAAAATAATAAATGTAATAATAATAACAACAACAACAGAGTAAAATACTAAATAACCTTGACTCAAGTATAAGCTGAGGGGGGCTTTTTGAGTCTTAAAAGGGGTCTGAAAAACTTGTTTGTACTCAAATATATACGGTAGTTTTAATATACTGCTATTGAGTCAAGAAAATCTTATGGAACTGGACACTGGAATTCCATGAAATATCTGCAGCTTTACTGTGTTTTTGAAATATCTGAACCATCAATGGAAATGGGTTGTGGTGTTCTTTAAAGGACAAGTTTGTCGTTCTCATGAGTTGAGCTATTTGCTTTGTGAGGTTTGTTGCTGGGTTGTTCTTACAGGTTCCTTGCTTCCCCTTTCTCCCAATTTAGGTGCAGAAGAGAAGATCCTGACTGAATTTCGGGACTCCTGCCATCACCACGTACCCCACGACTTCCCCTTGCAGGCCATGGTGCGTTCCTCAGGGAAGCTGGTGCTGATTGATAAGCTGCTTCCCAAGTTGAAGTCTGGGGGGCACAAGGTGCTGATCTTTTCCCAGATGGTCCGTTGCCTTGACATCTTGGAGGACTACCTCATCCAAAAGAGGTGAGACCCCGACACCAGAAAGGAAGGAGCCCGAAATAAAAATATGCTATGGTCCTGAAAGCCAGATTTTCTTCATATGGCAGAGTTTGTTCAGTTACAATGTGTCTTGTGCCCAAACTCCAATGTGTAATATATTAAGGGACAGATGGAGCCTCCATATCAGTAGGGTTCTGGATCAGCTTTGGTCTTAGTCTAAACGTTTATGAAACTATCAAAGCCATTGGATTCTGACTCTTCCCTCCACCCCATCTTGCAGTCTGACAGTGATACAGTGTGTTTCAACACCTTGTATTTTTTCCACTTCATTGTGCATTCCCTGTAAAGGACACTTAGATCCAGAATGCATAATGTGTGACCCTATAAGTGTTGTTATTCTACAGCTCCCAGTATATTGGCCTTGGCAGACTCAGGTTGTAGTCCAAGAACATCTATAGGGCCTCCCAGTCCACACCATTGGCCCTGAAGTGGGAATTGTTGATCATTATGCTTCAGGTTGACTGTGGGAGACGGGAGTGTTGTAGACAGACTGGCCTCCTCTTCCTGTGACCTTTCAGGAATGTTAGTATCACCAACAGGGACACTCCGCCCTATTCCAGTTACAGATTCATAAAAAAAAACCCTGATCCACACCCTTTCCACATAGGTATTTGTATGAGCGCATCGACGGGCGGGTGCGAGGCAACCTGCGACAGGCAGCCATTGACCGCTTCAGTAAGCCCGACTCAGACCGGTTTGTCTTCCTGCTCTGCACACGGGCAGGAGGGCTGGGGATCAACTTGACAGCTGCAGACACCTGCATCATCTTCGACTCTGATTGGAATCCTCAGAATGACCTGCAGGTATGGCAGAGAAGGGGAAAATCCCTGGAGGGGAAAACTGAATCTTTGTGATGCTACTGATCAAACAGAACTAGAGCCTGATGTAGGAAGTAGGCTGTTGCATCATTTCGGATTAGATCGGAACTTGTATCTGATTCGTTAAATTCAGGCATACAAAGGTGAGTTCCTAGGCATGCAGGAAAGGTGTGTGGGGGGATTTAAAATTTGAATTGCTTACCCATTTTGTAATGTTCATATGTCTCCCAAGCTTAGTTTAATTTTCACTATAACCAGTAAAGCTGATTTAAAATCTTTTAAAATCTCATTCCTTTGGCCCCATCTTCGCCAGTGCTGCCATATGGGAGATGATGAGCGTAGCTAATCAGTCATTTTAACTATAGTTTGGGAAGGCCAGTCCCTCAGTGGTAGATATTGGAAAAGGCCCTGCCTTAAACTTCATTTCCCAGTATGCCTCAGAAGGAGAATGCACCAATCAGAAGAGGAGAGAGAAAATTATCCCCCTTAACCAGTGGTTCTCAACCTGGGGTCCCCAGATGTTTTTGGCCTTCAACTCCCAGAAATCCTAACAGCTGGTAAGCTGGCTGGGATTTCTGGGAGTTGTAGGCCAAGAACATCTGGGAACCCCAAGTTGAGAACCACTGCCCTAAACAGTTTATTTTTCTGAAAACCTTTTTAAAAAATCCCTTAAATCAGTAGATGTATTAGTATTTCTGAAAATTGGGTAGAATGACCCCACTTATCTTGTGGCATTGGATAGAAATTTTAAGGATATAGTTCTTGTAGTTTTTTTAAAAAATGTCGTTTTAAAAAACTTGCCGAAAATCAATGGCTAAGTCAAACGTTCTGGAATTTGGTGGGCTAACAGTGGTAAATGTGTTCTAGCACTGTAGCAAGCTTCGTCAAGATAGCTCAAAACATTAGGAAGAGAGGAGCCCCTGAAGTTTCCCACTGCCATTCATGTTTGCCCTATTGCACAAGGGCAAGTCCAGTTGACAAAGAACTTACAAAGATTTGTAAGTTTCTTTCGAGTTCTAAAACTTTTACTCCCAAAATCCGAAAAGAAATTTAGAAACGAAGTACCAGTGCCCCCTACTTTTGAACACAGTTTAGAACTTATTTATGGATCACACATGCCTAGTAGGAAGCTATGGGGTTCAGATTCACCTCCTACCATTTAAGGTTATTGGGTTATTTGGGGCCTCTGTTTTTTTCATACCTTAGTCTTTGAAAACATCAAGCAAGAGTAGACTTTGCAGAGGTAGTTTATGCATATGAACCTGGTCTTCCATACCTGTGCCTTTTGTTCTCCTGTCCTCCCAGGCCCAGGCTCGCTGCCATCGTATTGGGCAAAGCAAAGCAGTGAAAGTTTACCGTCTCATCACTCGCAACTCCTACGAGCGTGAGATGTTTGACAAAGCCAGTCTCAAGCTAGGACTGGACAAGGCTGTTTTGCAGTCCATGAGCGGGCGAGAAGGCAGCATTGCCGGGGTAAGAGTCTGCGGCAGTGGGTGAATGTAACAGATGCTAGAGGACAAAATTAGTTTCTCCACACTGGTGTCAATTTTATCAGACCTGAAATATGGGTATTAGCTTGCAGATTTGGACTGTTTTTATTTCTTGCTGTTGCTTCATGGTGGACCCAGGATGGAGCTTTTCTCACTAATTCATCCTTCCTGCCATATGTCTCTTGGTCTTCAGAACTGGCGTTCTGAATATTTCTGGTGAAAGGAAAAACAGCTCAGAAGAGCTTGAAAAGTACAAATCCTTTGGATGTTATGTCTTTGGCTCTAACTTCATGGGAAAAATTCAATTCCATCTCAAGATGGTATTTTATCTTCTGCACATTATTAGCCATTCTCTTTTATCTCTCTCCTTCCTAGATCCAGCAGTTTTCAAAGAAGGAAATTGAAGATCTACTTCGCAAAGGGGCATATGCTGCCATCATGGAAGAGGACGATGAGGGCTCCAAGTTCTGCGAGGAAGATATTGATCAGATTTTGCTTCGCCGCACCACCACCATCACCATTGAGAATGAGGGGAAGGGATCCACCTTTGCTAAGGTACCTTCTGCCCCTTTACTACTGCTTGCTCATCCCAGAAAGCCTTATCATCTCTGATATACAAAGACAAGGGATGTGGGGATTGACAAAAAAGAGCAAACTTTGGAAGCCAAAGAAATGAAGAGAAAATAATGAAAACAAGTTGTGCGGAAATTCCTTTGTCCTGGCATTTTACTACGTTGTATATTGGGAATAACATTCTCACTGCTCTGGAGAGCAAGACTTATTTTATTTATTTATTTTTGCTACAGATGTACTTCAATAGGATAGGCTTTCCCATATATTTTACTGATGGTTTTCTTTTTCCCCTCTATTTATCAGGCGAGCTTTGTGGCCTCTGAGAACAGAACTGACATCGCCTTGGATGATCCGAACTTTTGGCAGAAATGGGCCAAGAAGGCCGACTTGGATCTTGATATGCTCAACAGCAAGGTGGGCGGCAGGGGAGATTGGCATGCCCAATCCACTGTATTTGAGACTAGATTGGCTCCAATTGTCTCACTATGGGTCAAGAGAGCTTTACATTAAGGCCCACACCCAAAATCGTGACATGGCTTTTTCTCAGGTTCTTCTCTTTTTTTAAAAAAACTGCTCCATTTTCTCAATAACAAATTGGTAATATAATACTTTACTCAGCTTTGAGTCCCCTCAGGAGTGAGAAAGGCAGTATATAAATACTGTAAATAAATAAACAAAATAAATTATCTCTGAATGTGAAGGAACAGGAGACTGCATTTGGGACCTGGCAGGATTGGCATATTGTGGAGAGGTGGAACTAGGGGTGTAAGTATCTCTTCTTTTTTCTCATCCCCCTCAGAACAACCTGGTGATTGACACGCCCCGCGTGCGTAAACAGACACGCCATTTCAGTACCCTGAAGGATGATGACCTGGTGGAGTTCTCTGACCTGGAGAGCGATGACGATGACCGGCCTCGCTCTCGGCGTCATGACCGGCACCACCACCAGTTCCACCACTCGTATGGCCGCACAGACTGCTTCCAGGTGGAAAAACAACTGCTAGTCTATGGGTATGTGGCAAGGGTGGGAGCCAAATGTAATGGGCCCGTAGGGATGTGGGTGAAGGGAAGGTCATTTTCTCACTGGGAGGAGTGGGTGGGCAGGATGTTGGGTGCCTCACCTACATGTGCTTGAATTAATCCAGTGTTCCTCAAAACTAGGCATTTCCTCCAGAAGCCCCTGAAGGGGCTTTTTCAAGGAACCCACTCATGATGGACAACCTTTTCCCAAAGGGACTATGTCCATGTCTAATAATGAGGAGGAGGAGGAGGAGGAGGAGGATGTGGCTCTGGCATAAACCAGTACAGGTGGTCTCATTGGCGCACTGGGTGCCATGCCAAAAGATCTCAGCCGGCATTTGGAAACAATAAACACCGACAAAATCACGATCTGTCAACTGCAAAAGGCCACCTTACTTGGATCTGCGCCCATCATTCGAAAATACATCACACAGTCCTAGACGCTTGGGAAGTGTTCGACTTGTGATTTTTTGATACAAAATCTAGCATATAGATCTCGTTTACTGTGACATACTATGCTTTTGTGTCAGTAAAATAATAATAATTTCTAGACTGCCCTCTCTACCAAGAAGGACTCAGGGCAGTTTACACATAAAATGACAAGCATTCAGTGCCTCAAAATAGGTACAGACACATCAAAATAATGCAAAATAATGTAGAGTAACAACAGAAAACTTCCAACAAAAGAATTACGTATCAAAATAAAATAAAAACAAGAACAATCCAATAAGACATAAAAACTAAACATTACAATGTACACCCTAAAAATAAATTATGAGATATTACATAAAAATGGCTGACAATGGTGTTTCATTTAAGATGTATCCGTCTAATACATGTAGATTAGCCAGCAGTCTTAATCCTCCTCCTCTCCATACGCTAAAGTGCATAAAGAGACAGCAAGAGGAGAAAAAGCCAGTAGAGGAATTGAAGACGTTTGGAGTAGGTTTAAAAAGGAATTTTCATGAGGCACCCTGTAGCACATTCCCGCCATTAATATTTCCAACTTTGCCCATTTAATTTGGCAGCTGGGGCCGTTGGCGGGAAATCTTGTCACATGGACGTTTTAAGCGGCGCATGTCTGATCGGGATGTGGAGACCATCTGCCGGGCCATCCTAGTTTACTGCCTTATGCATTACCGGGGCGATGAAAACATCAAATGCTTCATTTGGGACCTCATCAGCCCCGTTGAAAACGGCAAAGCCAAAGAGCTTCAGAATCATTCCGGTAAGGAAGGTGCTTTGTCTTTCTCTCTGTGTTGTCCTTGACTGGGGATGATGTGATTTCCGTAAAGCCATTTGTTTTGCTGTTGCAAAGGCTTCTGCCATAATGGCGCCGTCGTTTTGTGACAAGCCTTTTGGGGTGAGAGCCATCTTGGATTTTGGAAGACTCAGGGTGGTGAAGGTGGGCAGTGGGAATCCAAGATGGCAAAACTCATTGGAATGGAATCTTATCAATTCATTGGGACCTAAGAAAAGGGCATTATTTCTCTTCTGGGGATCCCAAAATATGCTCAGCGGGACTATCTGTGTTGTATGTTTGTCTGTGAGTTTGAGATGTGATGAAAAAAATCGGGATGACCCTAATCCCTGTGCACTGGTTCCATATTACATTTAGAGAGCCATGCCCCTGCCTTGAGCTCACTTGCTGTTCCTCGGGCAGGCCTGTCCATCCCAGTTCCACGAGGCCGCAAAGGGAAGAAGGTCAAGTCACAAACCACCTTTGACCTCCAAAAAGTTGATTGGATCCGCAAGTACAACCCAGACACCCTCTTCCAAGATGAGGGTTACAAGAAACACCTCAAGCACCAATGCAACAAGTAAGATGGGATGCAAAAGGAACTCACTTGGACATAGTATATCTATACAGGTGCCCACTCCATATATTTCAACCGCAGTCCATTTTATTCATTCAAAAAACACATGAACCTCATTTCAAAATGAGGGTCAAAAAGCTGAGAATGCGTAAATGATTTTTAAAATGATTTGCTTAACTTTTCATTGGGCAGTTAGTGGAGGTCCACCTCAAATAAATGCATAGATCAGAGCAATAGTTGGATATTAGATGTGATTTTTTCCATGTTTCTTGAGGGCTCTTTTAGGTCCAGGAGAGTTCTTTTTTACAATGGGAAGTTACCTGGCGGTAACCCTCACCTCAGACCTAAACTGCCTAGAGCAGTGGTTCTCCAGCTGTGGGTCCCCAGATGTTTTGGCCTTCAACTCCCAGAAATTTTAACAGCTGAAAAACTGGCTGGGATTTCCGGGAGTTGTGGGCTGAAACACCTGGAGACCCACAGTTGGAGAACCACTGGCCTAGAGGGTAGAAAATAATACAGAATTTACCTGTATGAAGGATTATTTTTAATTTTGATTTTTATTTTGATGGGGAAAGCTACAAAGGCTTTGGAAACCATAGGCAGCGCCTTCTCTCAAAGGCATAGGTCTACCAATCCCAACCTTGTGGCATTCCCCTGTGTTCGATTATAACTCAGATAACCCTACAGAGTAATGGGAACTGTAGTCCAAAGCAGCATGTGGCTGCTGGAGTATGGAGCAGTCTGGTGTATGTGTATTCCCTTCAGTCTGGTGTATGTGTATACACTTCTCTTCAGGGGTAAAAGAATGCAAAATGTGTATTTTCCTCCTTTCAGTCCTAAATCAAATATGTCCAGTGATTCCGGCCATGAAAGCCTTAAGACAATACATAATATAATATACAAAAATTAAACTGTTCACTTCACTTGTGAAATCTTAGACAAAGGCCGTAAGGATTTCTCAAGTGAAAGGATCAGTGGTTTGGTTTGCTATCCAGACTCGGTGTGGCAAGTTGTGTGCCCTTGTGCCCCTCCATCTGAATGTTCTTGATCTCCCTTTTCCTAGGGTACTCCTGCGGGTGCGCATGCTATATTATCTCCGCCAGGAAGTGATTGGGGACCAGGCTGAAAAAGTGTTGGCAGGTGTTATTTCCAGGTAATAACACTTGATTGATTCATTTATAAATCCCATAATGTTGTTTTTCCTTTTAAAAAATGGTGACCTTCCTCCAAAAGGCTCAGGATGTCATAATATAAGAAACACCATAATGTTTATAGACTGGAACAAAGTGCAATATAATCTCACATGATGCTACAAGAATGTGAATGTATATTATTGTTGTTTTAAACTGTTTATTATATGATGTTTTATACTTATTATCAATGTATTTGAATTGTTGTTTACATTATTTTAATACGTTGTAAGCCACTTTGGGTCCTGTGAGGAAGAAAAGTTATTTATTTATTTTATTTAGCGCTTTTATAACCCGGTCTTCTCGACCTCCAAGGAGGGACTCAGGCTAGCTAACAACAGAGAATCAATATCCAAATAAACTAAAGCATAATAACATCATAGTACATTAATACATCATACACACATTAAAATACAGATCAAGAATTACGTAAAGCCAATTTGTCAAGGTAAATCACAAATTCACCACCATCCGTTATTGATTCGATCATCAATCTGAGAATGCTAAGTTCCAGAGCCAAGATTTTACCATCTTTCTGAAAGTCAGGAGGGAGGGGGCAGATCTGATCTCTATCGGGAGAGAGTGGCCACCACCGAGAAGGTCCTGTCTCTCGTTCCCACCAGACGCGATTGCGAAGGTGGTGGGACCGAGAGCAGGGCCCCTCCAGAAGATCTTAACAATCTTGATGGTTCGTAGGGGAGAATCCGTTCGGACAGGTAAAAGTGGGATATAAATAGAGATGATGATGATGATAATGTTTATTATTATTCACTCCCAACACACACACAATTATCATCACTCAGCTTTAATGTTATTTTGTATTTTTGAACATTCACTGGCTTCTAGCTAATGGGAGGAATGAAACCTCTCTCTTCCCCCCACAAGTTATAAGGGCCTAGTCCCAATCCTTTGTGACCATACATTAGGGCAATAAGGTGAAGACACTAACTCACCAATTGCATGGTTTGTCTCACAGGCATTTAGAACAGATTGTATTCCTTCTCTGTCTCTTTGTTTGCTGTATGTACATTTCTAGAAATATATGCAATCCTCACTGATGCCTATTAATTAGGGTGGGAATTCTGCAAGATGCTCCATAGCTTCCTGAGCAGGCCTCTCCTACTCCTATTGACATGTTTGCTTTTGTTTCTCTTCTTCCACTAATTCCTGCAGTGAAATCGACATCTGGTTTCCACTGGTGGATCAGGCAGAGGTCCCCACAGCCTGGTGGGATGCAGAAGCTGACAAGTCCTTGCTCCTTGGGGTGTTCAAACATGGTAAGCAGTGCTCCAGTACAGTTCCAGGGGAAAGGGTTCAGGATTAGGACAGCTTCCTTCCCTCCAGATGTTTTGGAATGGGAAGAATGTGGGATATAGATGGCAGGTGGAGGCTGGTTTCCACTTTGCTACCCCCCCCTTCAATATTTTAATTGAAATTTGACAATAAAAATACACAAAATGAAAAACAACAATACTTATGAGTACATAAACATAGACATACTTAAGGTGACAATTACCTAACAAACACACATCTCTAATGGTAAAGGTTTCCCCTGACATTAAGTCTAGTTGTGGCTGACTCTGGGGGATGATGCTCATTGCCATTTCTAAGCTGAAGAGCTGGCATTGTCCATAGACGCCTCCAAAGGTCATGTGGCCGGCATGACTGCATTCAGCGCCATTACCTTCCTGCAGAAGCGGTACCTATTGATCTACTCACATTTGTATGTTTTCGAACTGCTAGGTTGGCAGAATCTGGGGCTAACAACGGGAGCTCACCCCGCTCCCTGGATTCCAACCGCCAATCTTTGGGTCAGCAAGTTCAGCAGCTCAGCTCTTTAACCCACTGTGCCACCAGGGGGTCCTACACCTCTACCTATTTATTTATTTATTTATTACGGTTGCTTATACCCCGCCCTTCTCACCCGGGGGGACTCAGGGCGGCTTACACAAACAAGGCACAATTCGATGCCTGTATTACAAAAACATAACATCAAAAACATAACATCAGTAACAACAATAATTATAACACTGATAACAATTAACGTAAACAATCAATATTATCGGCAGGAATAGCCATAAACCCGTAAAAACGATTAAAACAATAAAAGCAATACAAACCTCATTGCTGGTCAGCGTTTAACCGACTCATAGTTAGGTTCTACTTTCCACACATTGTTGGTCCTATCATTCTGGTTCCATGTCTAATTGTCAGGGTGCCCAAAGGCCTGGTCCCAGAGCCACGTCTTTACCTTCCTCCTGAAGGCAAGGAGGGAAGTTGAAGCCCTGATTTCCCCCGGGAGTGAGTTCCACAGATGAGGGGCCACCACTGAGAAGGCCCTGCTCCTCGTCCCCACCAGCCTCACTTGTGATAGCGGTGGGGTCGTGAGCAGGGCCTCCCCAGATGATCTCAGATTCCGAGATGGGACGTAGAGGGAGATACGTTCGGACAGATACGCTGGACCGGAACCGTAAAGGGTTTTGTAGGTCAAAACCAGCACCTTGAATTGTGCTCGGAACTGAATCGGCAGCCAGTGGAGCTGACATAACAGGGGGGTGGTGTGTTCCCTGTATGTCGCTCCAGTAAGCAGTCTAGCTGCCGCTCGTTGGACCAGTTGGAGTTTCCGAACAGTCTTCAAGGGCAACCCCACGTAGAGTGCGTTGCAGTAGTCTATACGGGATGTGACAAGAGCGTGGACCACTGTGGCCAGATCAGACTTCCCGTACGGGCGCAACTGGTGCACAAGTTTTAATTGCACAAAAGCTCTCCCAGCCACCGCTGAGACCTGGGGTTCCAGGCTCAGCGATGAGTCCAGGATCACTCCCAAGCTTCGAACTTGCGACTTCAGGGGGAGTGTAACCCCGTCCAGCACAGGCTGTAACCCTATGCCCTGTTCGGCCTTACGACTGACCAGTAGGACCTCTGTCTTGTCTGGATTCAATTTCAATTTGTTAGCTCTCATCCAGTCCGACACAGCAGCTAAACACCGATTCAAGGTCTGGACAGCCTCCTTGGTGACAGGTGGGAAGGAGTGACAGATTTGGACATCATCTGCATAGAGATAACATCTCATTCTGAAACTCCGGATGATCTCCCCCAGCAGCTTCATGTAGATGTTAAATAACATCGGGGACAGAATTGAACCCTGTGGGACTCCACACAACAACGGTTGTGGGGCCGAACAGGTGTCACCCAGTAACACCTTCTGGGACCGTCCCTCAAGAAAGGACCGGAGCCACTGCAAAGCAGTACCCCCAAGTCCTATGTCCTTGAGGCGTCCCAGAAGGATACCGTGATCGAACGGTATCGAAGGCCGCTGAGAGGTCCAGCAGAACTAACAGGGACACACTCCCCCTGTCCAGCTCCCGGCGTAGATCATCTACCAAGGCGACCAAGGGCTGTTTCCGTTCCATGTCCTGGTCTAAAGCCAGACTGTGCCAGATCTAGATAATCAGTGTCTACCAGAAATCCCTGGAGTTGTGTTGCCACCACACGTTCCATGACTTTGCCCAAATAGGGGAGATTGGAAACTGGCCGATAGTTGTCTAATTGAGTGGGGTCCAGTGATGGTTTTTTCAACAGCGGTTTTATAACAGCCTGTTTTAGGCTCGCTGGAATTATGCCCTCCCGAAGGGAGGCATTAACCACCACTTTCACCCACTCTGCCAAACCCCCTCTGGCTTCCTTAATCAGCCAGGATGGACAGGGGTCTAGGATGCATGTGGTGGGTCGCACCTCCCCAAGGATCCTGTCCACATCCTCAAGCTGAACCAATTGAAATGAATCCAATAAAACCGGACAAGCAGATGCTCTCGTCACATCCTCAGAGACTGCATTTAAAGTGGCGTCGAATCCCGACCGAATCAGCGCAATTTTATCTGTGAAGAATCGAGCAAATGCTTCACAGCGAGCTCCCGAGCTGTCAGGGATCTCGCTTTCCGGCGGATTTAATAGACTCCTGACAACTCGAAAGAGCTCAGCTGGACGATTCTTCGCCGATGCAATACTGGCCGCATAGGATGTTTTTTGTGCTGCCACTATTGCCACACCATAGGACCTTGTGAAGGCATTCAGATGTGTTTGGGCTGATTTAGTGGGATTCTGGCGCCACACGCGCTCTAACCACCTCTTCTTTCGCTTCATTGCTGCCAGCTCCTCAGTGAACCAAGGGGCATGGTTACCTATATCTCTAAAGTACCAACATATACAGAAATTTGTTTTAAAAGTGGATTTCCAGCTTCTCTTTTGTTGGTTTCTCTACAAAATTAACATTTTTTCTTCCACTTTACACCCAATAATTGTTTATTTCCGCTTGTTTTAACATTTACGAGTGAATATCCCAATGTTTTATGTCTCCAAAACTATAGATAATCTTTTCCCTCCAAAATATATATTGATAAAATTGTTTCCCATTCTTCTTAGAATGTGTCCCATGACTTATCCTTCTAAAACATTGTTAATTTGTCATTTCTGTTAATTCCCACTTCTTAATTGTTCAGTCTTGTATAGTCTTTTTTCCCTTGTTGAGAATATAGGATTCTTGCTGCTACCACTTCTGTCATTCCTGAATTTCCCTACCAGTATCGCAAAGCCTCCCAATCTCTAAAAAGAAAAAAAAGGGCTCTGTTTATCAATATCAGTTTTGCCAGAGGGTTATGTGGAGGTTACTAGAGTACTACTAGTTTTCTGAATTGTTTTTCCATCTCCTTCAGGCTATGAGAAGTACAACACAATGCGAGCGGATCCTACCCTCTGCTTCTTGGAAAAGGCCGGTCGCCCGGATGACAAGGCCATTGCAGCAGAGCACCGTCTGGATACGAACGAAGGGTGAGTGGCCAATCAAGATGGGGCTGTTGCCGAAGGTTTGTGGGGAGATCCTGATTGACGAGAAGCCACCAGTTTGGGAGCGAAAGAGAACATGAGGGCAGCACACCCATGATGACTAGCCATGCTAATACCGAGCCACCGAGTGGAGCTATCTGCTCTGAACTCGGGTGTCAGTGAGTTAAGCTTGCTTCTCACAGGAAGACCTGAGGTGTGTATGCAAAAAGAATGGGGAAATCAGGGATTAATATGGAGACAACTGAGTTTCTTTTCCCCCTTATTGCTGACAGAGTGGATTTTGACAAGGACTGTGAGGACCCAGAATACAAACCGGTGGGAGGTCCAGCCAAGGAGCAGGATGGTGAGGTGAGAGTCTCCACTCATCACAGAGTTATTATATGTTCTAGATATCTCTCCAGCCTCCGGTTGAGGCCATTTTACACGTTAGTTTACAGGGGTCCTCATACTTTTTAAACAAAGGGCCAGGTCACAGTCCCTCAAACTGTTGGAGGGCCGGATTATAATTTGAAAATAACATGAATGAATTCCTATGCGCAGTGCACATGTCTTATTTGTAGTGCAAAAAACTCTTTAAAACAATGCAATAATTAAAATGAAGAACAATTTTAACAAATATAAACTTATTGGTAGTTTAGTGGGAAGTGTGGGCCTGCTTTTAGCCAGTGAGATAGGATTGTTGTTGTTATGTGCTTTCAAGTCGTTTCAGACTTAAGTTGACCCTGAGCGAGGGCCGGGTAAATGACCTTGGAGGGCCATATCTGGTCCCTGGGACTTAGTTTCAGGACTCCTGGTTTCACATAACAACAACAACACTTTATTTATATTTTGTCCTATCTCCCCAAGGGGACTCAGGGCGGATCACACTATACATATACAGCAAACATTCAATGCTGTTTTGGACAGGACAAAGACAGACAGAACAGACATCCAACTTTTTGGCACCTTGGAGGTTGTGCTCGAATGCAGCCACAGGGGGTGCTGTTGCTCTATCCCCTATGACAAAGAACCATCAGGCCTTCCTCCTTCCTTTTGATCCCTGGCATTTTCTGATCTTTTTCTTTATGGTGTTGTAAAATATCTCCCCTGCTTAACAGTACCTAATTTCTCTAATTACATCTGTAAGCTGTTTCTGAACTGCTTAGGTAAACAGTGAGTTGGATTCACAGTCGGGTGCTCACGCCAACCTGGGGCTTCGAACTGGCAACGTTTCGTTTGGTAGATCTTATCATTGCTGGTGATTTACCAGCTGTGCTAAAGCTTGGCCCATAGCATTTATAGCATTGGCTGGGCCTTATTATTCTTATTATTCTAATAAGGCACAACACAAGGGGAACAGCAGATGTGAAGAGCAAATAAAACTATGAAAACTCCAAGTTCATTTTCTTCATATTACAAGCTATCTCTCAACCTAACATCACTCATTTCTCTCTTTAATAGGGTGACCCATTGATGATGATGGAGGAGGAAATTTCCGTGGTGGATGGAGAGGAAGGTAAATACATGCTGGCCAAAAGTGTTGGCTGAAAGACATGATGAGATTCTTAAATATATTTCTTTTCTGGAGAGAAGCAGAGAAGAAAAGCCATATGGCAATGGTAATGTCAGGGAAAGAAACGAAACTGATAGCTTTCCTCTTTCCCCTCAGGCCAACTGGGGAACTTGTTCTGGCCCCCAGCCTCGGCTCTCACGGCCCGTTTGCGGAGGCTCATCACTGCCTTCCAACGGAGTTACAAGCGTGAGCAGCTGAAGATGGAGGCCGCAGAGCGAGGAGACCGCCGACGGCGCCGTTGCGAGGCTGCCTTCAAGCTGAAGGAAATGGTGCGGCGGGAGAAGCAGCAACGGTAATACTCTCTCCGCTGTGATAATACCCCGAGAGTTTCATTGCCCATTATTGGGCAAGTGGGCTTGTTAACAAAAGACCCCCCCCCCCCAATAAAGTAACTTATTGGGGTAACTTATTGGGCAGAGTAACTAATTAGCAGCAGCATGACCCAGCACCAGGAACCCAAAGCAATAAAAAGAACAAAAACAGAGACCCGTGTTATCTTTTCCATTGGAGTAGCTCTTGCAACAAACCAGGGAAATCTGGAAATGGTTAAACGAGGAGGGATTTCCATTGAAGCCACCCTCTGTGTGTTGACATCTCTCCACACCTCTCTTCTGTAGATGGACGCGGCGAGAGCAGTCAGATTTCTACCGTGTGGTCTCCTCCTTTGGAGTGGAGTATGACCCGGACACAATGCGCTACCACTGGAACCGCTTCCGGTCCCTTGCTCGCCTGGACAAGAAGACAGACGAGAGCCTCACCAAATATTTCCACGGTTTTGTGGCCATGTGTCGGCAAGTGTGTCGGTTGCCTCCCGCTGCAAGTGATGGTTAGTAGGAGATTGTAGATCGGTGGGAGATCTCCAGGATGGAGTAAGAACCATTCAGAGTTCTCAGAAGTCTTTCTTCTTTGTCATGCCTGGATGTGTAGAAAGTCCCTTTATTCATTAATTCCTACTCTAGCTTGATACAATAAAGTTCTTAAATCGTGGCTGGGAAAGGTGCAAGATACAGGCTCCATAAGATATAGGGAGCCCCTGATTGCGCAGTGGGTTAAATCACTGAGCTGCTGAGCTTGTTGGCCAAAAGGTCACAGGTTCGAATCCAGGGAGCGGAGTGAGCTTCTGCTGTCAGCCCCAGCTTCTGCCAACCTAGCAGTTCGAAAACATGCAAATGTGAGTAGATCAGTAGGTACTGCTCCGGTAGGAAGGTAACCGTGCTCCATGTAGTCATGCCAGCCACATGACCTTGGAGGTGTCTACAGACAACGCCAGCTCTTCAGCTTAGAAATTGAGATGAGCACCAACCCCCAAGTTGAATACGACTGGACTGCATGTCAGGGGAAAACCTTTACCTTTACTCTAAGTTCCAAACCACCTCAAAATTATTTTATCACTTTATGCCTAGGTCAGTGCCTGGTGGGAAAAAAAGGCCTTAAAGGCACTAAAACAGCTAGGGGCAGTCAAAAATACTTGTTGACCTCAGGGCGTTGAGTAGCATTTCTGAGCATTTTTTTCACCCCAGAGATGGAGGGCTGCCCACCAAAGGTGGCAAATGTGATTCCCTGATTCCTAAGTTTGCTAAGCCCCACTATAAACTACAAAACCCAGCTTAAACAATTTGAAACCCATTTAATAAAACTCCATAACATTTGTCTAGAAATTGCAGCAGGAGAATGCCTATGTAAGCTGGCATGCCTTTAGTAGTTATCTAAAACTTGTTGGGCATGTGGGCTTATTAACAAAAGATCCTGCTCATAAATGTACAGCAGAGTAACTTATTAGCAGCAGCATGACCCAGCAACAGTAGCCCAAAGTGATAAAAAGAACTCTTCCATAAGAGCTTTGCTTTATAGCAAAATACTATGGTTGCACTATTTACAAAAACAAGTTTTCCATAACGCGAACAAAGTTCTTTATACTTCCTTCTTTGCTTCCATTCTGGGCTTCTTTCTCATACTTCGCTCTCACAGAGCCTGTTCTTAACAATGAACTTAAACAGCAGTTTCACACAGTAGATTTTTTACTCACCGCAGCCTTCACACTGAAGCTTGACACATGATGGCCTTCAACCTGGGGCTTCTTCTCACCGAAGCTTCTCACACCAGGCCTACTCAAATTGACGCCTACCTCACACTGTGGTATTCTCACACTGAGGGCTCTCTCAGACAGGCTTTTCTCCCACTGAGGCAAACTAACACTCAGGCCTTCTCATAATGAGGCCTTCTCACACAGAGTCCTCTCACAGGCAGAGCTACTAAGCTACAGGTACACCTGCTTATATTGAACTGTAACTTTTGCTGAGTCATTGTATCCATTTAACCATTTCAGTGCTTGACTCACATTTTCATAATTAAAAATACCTAGTTAATTTTTTAATATTTCTGACAAAACTCAACATCTTTTCCTTTCAAACCAGGTGGGGGAGAGCCTTCCACAGGGTGAAGGTCACCACGAAGGCTTAACTTTGCATTAATGTGCAGTACCATGTGAACTAATATAACCTCAGTTGGGCATATTGGGATAAATTGTGTGTGAGGAGTTGCTGAGAGAGTGAACCTATGAGGCTGGGGTTCACTGTATAGCAATGCTTGTCAACTGTGAGAAGAAGAAGTAGAAATGGTGCAGAAGACAGAAGAGAGGTTTTCCTAGTTCTGGGGAACTGTATGACAGAGGGGATGGAAGGTGACAACTTATTGGTGTGCGTTCCAAATTCCTTCTTTACTTTTTCTCACAGAATCTCCAGACCCCACGCTGTTCATTGAGCCCATCACAGAGGAGCGGGCCTCGCGCACCTTGTACCGGATCGACCTCCTGAGGCGCCTTCGCGAGCAAGTGCTATGCCACCCACTCTTGGAAGACCGCCTCACCCTGTGCCAACCCGCAGGCCCTGAAATGCCACCCTGGTGGCAATGCGGGCGCCATGACGGCGAGCTGCTGAGGGGGGTGGCGCGCCACGGCCTCAGCCAGACAGACACCACTATCATGCAGGACCCAGAATTCTCCTTCTTGGCGGCTCGCCTCAACCACATGCACAGTCGGTCAGGGGGCACTGGGACGCCCCCACTGCCGCCCCCTCCGCCGCCACCACCACCACCTTCAGGGCTGTCTCTTCCCGGAGCCAGTGTGCCAGCTACCCCATCTCCCCTGCTCCTACAGCCACCCATTCATCAGCTGCCCACTGCACCACAACCCTCGGCCCTTCCTGTGAAACTTGAATCGGCCGACGACTCAGACTCGGAGCTTGACCTCAGCAAGATCTCCGCTTCTTCGTCCTGTTCATCCACCTCAGGCTGCTCTGATGACAGTGAGGGTGAGCACTTCATCTTGACATACCCTCTCAGGCAGCTATCCACAAATGGGTTGGCTCCCGTTTGTGCCCAGTAATAATAAAACTTTATTTATATTCTGCTCTATCTCTCAGGGAAGAGTCAGGGCAGATTCCAATAAACAGAAAGGCAAACATTCAATGCCTCAATAACAATAAGTAGAAATATAATAACCCAGAGTAACCCCACATAAAATACATCTTAAACATAACAAACAATAACTTAAAATAAAACATAATCTTGTTGAAAATGATAATTAACATAGAACATGAACTTAAAACATCTGAATTAATACACAAAGGCATCACAAAAGTTTACAGATGTGTGCATTGATTGTGTGGCTAATGATGTTAAAATGGGCTAACGTGATCTAACAATAATAATAAGAAGAAGAATAAAACGTTATTTATATACCGCTCTATCTCCCCAAGGGGACTCAGAGCAGTTCCCAGGTAAAAATCACAAAACATACAAAGTAAAAACAACATAGCCATAAGATTAACAAAACAAAATATGCATAAAAATTGTCGCCATAACATATATATATTAAAAGTAATCCTGCCTGTCCAAGGCAATTAAAAAAAATGTAAAAGGCCGGGCCAAGATTTGTGCAAGCCAGAAATTCTAGGGGACCCGGGAATTAAATGCAATACTATGGCAGGCAACAATCATATTAGGTACGGGTCTGTGACTGTTCATTCCAGGGCCAACTAGAGGAAATGATCTGGGTAATTGGTAGGAAGAGTAAGGCCGTATTCGACAATGTATAGGGCTGAGTTAGAACTGGCCATTTTCAAAGGCCTGAATACATTTATACTTTCCAGTCAGTAGTCTGGTAATAGTCTTTCTTCATCTAATTCTCCTCCTTGCCATATGCTTGTGAGCAAAGATAGGTTTTCAGCTGTGTTTTGAAAGAGAGAAGGGAGGGGGCAGCTTTATTTCTTTAGGGAGGGAGTTCCAGAAGAGGGGGGCAATCATGGAGAAGGCCATCTCTCTCATTCCCACCAGCTGTGCTTGAGATGGTGGTGGGGATGAGAGCAGGGCCTTCTCCGATGATCGCAGCACTCAAATTAGTTTGTAGGCAGAGATTCAGTTAGTCAAATAGCCTGGACCTGAGGCATTTAGGACTTTAAAGGTAATGACCAGCACTTTGTATTTAGCCTGGAAGAATACCAGCAACCAGTGGAGCTGCCATAGCATGTTTGGGGCTCCAGTTAGTAATCGAGCTTCCGATCTCTGAACCAGGCAGGAGTCATGTGATCTAAAAGCCTTCATTCTGCACACCAGGCTATTGCTCCACTTCTTTCCCTTGCCTTTCTCCTCCTCTTTGGTGTGTTTGAGCCCTACATCTTTGTTCTGGCTCTCTGCTTCCCTAGTGTTTCTGGAGTTCCTTTTTTGTATCTTAGTAATTCCTGCTCCATTCCTGTTTTGTTTTGTTTTTTGTTTTTTTGGGGTTTTTTTTTACAAAAACACACAAATAAAAAGCCCACTAAGTTTGCTAAAGTGACAGATAAGAAAAAGAAAACCCTCCTTTGTTCATATACTCTCCACTGCCTTGAACCATATCCTTCAGAAGCTGTTCACTGACTGGCAAACCTGTCAAGAAATTGGTGGTTCCCAAACTTTGGTCTTCCACGAGTTTTAGACTTCAACTCCTAGAAAGCCCAGGCAGTTTGAACAACAGTCATGAATCCTGGGAACAGCTGTCCAAATAATCTGGACAACTAGAGCTTGGAAACCACTGCACTAAATTCTTTGTAGTCTTAACGTTTGACCCTCTGTGAAGAAGCCGTTACACTACAGCAGCCCCTCTTAGCCTTTGGCTCTTTTCCAGGTGAAGAGGCATCTTGCGGTGGGAAGCTCTTTGAGGAGGAGGAGTCGCTACTGTCCCTGCCCACCTCCCATGAAGGCAACTCGCCGCAGCCCAGTGCCTCAGACTTGCTGCTGCAGGAGCGCCAGCGTGCCCACGAATGGCCAAAGGTACTACAATGGGGTAAAAACCTCCCCACAGCCCATTTTAAGGATGTGGACCACTTTCGGTTGTGTAATGAGACCTCAATCATAGTTGAAAATAAATAATCTTACGCCTACTTTTCAATGAGATCAATGATTTTGAATTTACGCACTCCAGGCAGATCTCACTCCCTTGGCTGACGGCATTTCTCTTTCTCCCACCAGGACCGAGTTCTTCTCAACCGTATCGACTTGGTGTGCCAGGCTGTGCTCACTGGGAAGTGGCCCACAGCCCAGCAAGGCCAGTTGGCTTCCTGTATTGGCCATGGAGAAGGCCTGCCTCGTCTTCATGGAGAATACACCAGCTCTCCCATCCCGCACATCTGCCCCCTGGTGACGCATGAGGAAGGGGCAACCTCGTTCACTCGTCTCCGACACAGTGGCCTAGAGAAAGAGTTTACTGTACAAATCAAAGATGTGAGTGGAAGGCAGGACAGAGATCCAGTACAGTTTTGTAGGCCAAGCAGGAGGTTGCCTTTGATGACTTGCCATGCTAATACTGAACCCCAGTTGGCCAATGGCTCCTCTGGAGTTTTGTGAATGGATTCCTTCTTGGACTGAGGCACCCCACTTATTTATACATACTGAAAGCAAGCTTTGTGTGCATGTGCCAAAAGCCTGAATACTAAGGTATATTTGAACTAATTCTCCCAAAAAATATTCTGCTTGAAAAAGTAGGTTTTTGTATTGCCGCCACAAGTCATCAACAAAAAAGAATGGTTGAAATCAGATAGACTTGTTGGGGAAAAAAGTTTCCCATCGTGGTCATCTGTGAATTGCACATATGGTAGTTTCTGCGCCTGAGCAGACAGGGAAGGAACAGATTTGTTAGAGCAGCGTTTCTCAAGTTGGGGGGGTTGGGACTCCTAGGAGGGTCGCACGGGGCTTTCAGAGGGGTCGCCAAAGAGTTCTGTGTGGGAACTTTGGCCCAGTTCTATCATTGGTGGGCTTCAGAATGCTCTTTGATTGTTGGTGAACTTCCAGCAACTACAACTCCCAAATGCCTATTTCCCCCAAACCCCACCAGTGTTCACATTTGGGCATATTGAGTATTTGTGCCAAGTTTGGTCCAGATCTATCATTGTTTGAGTCCACAGTTCTCTCTGGATGTAGGTGAAGCACAAATCCAATGCTCAATGCGCACCAAACCCTTCCAGTATTTTCTGTTGGCCATGGGGGTTCTGTGTGCTGAGATGGGTTCAATTCCATTGTTGGTGGAGTTCAGAATGCTCTTTGATTGTAGGTTAATTATAAATCCCAGCAAATACAACTCCAAAATGAAAAAATCAACCCATCCCACCAACCCCAGCAGTATTCAAATTTGGGCACATTTGGTATTTATGCCAATTTTGGTCCAGTGAATGAAAATCCATCCTGCATATCAGATATTTACATTACAATTCATAACAGTAGCAAAATTACAGTTATGAAGTAGCAATGGAAATAATGTTATGGTTGGAAGTCACCACATGAGGAACTGTATTAAGGGGTCGCGGCATTAGGAAGGTTGGGAAACACTGCGCTAGAGCAAACTTTTCTCTTGTTGCCTGCCTGCCTCCACATTCTCTTTCATAGATATGTAGTACCATTCCACAAAGTCTGCAGCCTTAACCTCTCATTCCTTTCCTAGGAAGAGGGAATCAAGCTGACCTTCCAGAAGCACAAACTGGTCCCGAACGGCACTATCAGAGATCGTCCTGCAGTCACCCCGAAGAAGAGCAGCAAGAAAATGGTGGAGGTGAGAAAGGAGTGAGGGGACAGGATAGGGGATTTGGGGATTCAGAGCTGTGGGGGATTTGGGGAAGGTTTAGCTCCTTGTTTCTCAGCATCCTCTTGTTGGCTTCCAGCTGGAGCTGCAGTGCCTGGAAGCACTGAGGGGCCCTGATATCGACCTTGAAGCTCGTATCCCAGTGGTGAAGAAGACAGATGGGACCCTGCTGGTGGGCGATGCAGCCCCTCGGCGGGCTGATCTTGAGGTGTGGCTACAGGCCCACCCAGAATACGCTGTGGATCCTCGCTTCCTGGCTGTAAGCATTCCTTGACTGGTTTCTCTTATTCTTCTTAGGTTTGTTTGCCTGCTCACTCCCATAATATTTTAGAAAACCCATTTTAACTCTCTTGGCTGGAGCTACCCTTCTCTCTACCTTCTGCATACCTGATATTTCTGGAAAATGGATATAAGTGGGCCAGGGAAATTGCAGGGGGATACAATTTGGATTGCAGCCCTGACAGTTTTTAACAAGCTGGTAGGCTCTTCTGTCTTGGAGATTTGTCAAAAGACATCCTGTGTCAGACATGATTTCTCTATGAATTTCCTACATTGGCCAGAAGTTAGACCAGATGATCCTTCAGCATTACAGTTCTTTGATAGTGTACTTCCCTCTATCGATTCCATATGGGAAATTGCTCAGAAGCAGAGCTAGAGGCACAGAAATTACAATTTTCTGGCTCTGGTTCATCCAGCTGTAATAATAATAAATAATAAACTTTATTTATACCCCGCCACCATCTCCCCAATGGGGACTTGGGGTGGTTTACATGAGGCCAAGCCCAGACAACATATTACAGCATAATAAAACCAAAAACATAAGCAACAAGCAACAGCATCATAATTACATAAAAACTTATTAATACATATGTTATCCTACAGAGGCTATCCTCTGAGATCAAGTGGTGGCAATGGAGGGAGGCCTGAGTATAACAGCCAAAGGAGAAGGAGACGAAGAGTGCCCTAAATACTGAACCAAGTGCTTGATAAAGCACAAAGAAGATGTGAAACTCTGTTTTGCAATGGTGTGGGGTGCAAAATTTGCCCAATGCAGGGTTGAGCAACATATGGCCCTTGGTGAAATAGGCATGGTTATCCGCTCCTGTTTCTTGTACTGCAACATGAAGCTCCTTGCCACTTGTCACCTATATATATATATATGTCTATATGTTTTACTTTATTGTATTGTACTGTGTGTTTATTTTATGCTCTGTTTTAGGCACTTTGTGCCATATGAAAGCCACCCCAAGTCCCTTTGGGGAGATGGAGTACATGAACAAAATTATGATAATAATTCTTAATTATTTGTGGGACCACTTTTATCAATTTCTATGATCTTGGTTAAACCACAGGTTTGCAGTAGGGCATGCTCTCATTTTTCTTTTGAAAATGAAGATGCTCTGCCTCAAAACCTACAGGTTTGGAAGAGAGCTGTCACCTTTCTGCACTGATACGTGTAGTGGTAGGAATCATGGCAGCCACTACATTTTGGCAGGAGCAAAAACACCAGGAAGTTGTCCACCTTCAAACTACAAGAAAGGAGATTCCATCTGAACACGAGGAAGAACTTCCTGTCTGTGAGAGCCATTCAGCAGTGGAACTCTCTGCCCTGGAGTGTGGTGGAGGCTCCTTCTTTGGAAGCTTTTAAACAGAAGCTGGATGGCCATCTGTCAGGGGTGCTTTGAATGCAATGTTTCTGCTTCTTGGCAGGGGGTTGGACTGGATGGCCCATGAGGTCTCTTCCAACTCTACCTGTGCTCTTCCAACTCTATGATTCTATGATTCTATCTGTGCTGTATGGAATGGATAAATCCTTTCATTGCTTATTATGTCAGGGAAGATCTGGAGAGTTTACGAAAAAGAGGCAGGGGCTTTGTGAAAGAACTAGAATAAGACAATCTGTTTGGAACCCTTGGATTATAAACAGCAACCAACTTCTTGTCTCTTTTCACTTTTCTCACCAGTACATGGAAGAACGTCGGAAGCACAGGTGGCCCCGGTTTCCAAAACCAGTTCCAATTGAGCCAACCTGCCTGGTGGGCCTGGAGCGCATGCAGGGGGCAGGCATCTCTGCCAATGGCAAGAAGGTGATTGCACCTCAACCCCCCCCCCCCCCAAATCTTCATAACACCCAACAGTGACTGATTCATGAAGTTTCTTGTGCATTTTGTGCATGTTGGGCAAGTGGGCTTATTAACAAAAGACCCTCYTCATAAATGCTCAGCAGAGTAACGTATTGGCAGCAGTGTGACCCAGCACCAGTCTACTGAGAGAGGGGGAAAAACAACATGTGAAAAGGCAGAAGCAGAAGTAGAAAATATGGAACATGGCTGTAATTTGGCAATTTTAAACAGAAAAAATGAGGGCTGAATGATACAGGGAACTGGATTGTGAAGGACTTTGAAAGTTAAAACAATAAGCTTGTACTAAGTCCTAAAATGAGTAGGCAACCAAAAGAGACATATCAAAGGATTTCACATGAAGATACTGTTAAGGAAAACTACCCTAAAATATCGCAGAGCATCCAAAAACAAACAGGATACAAAAGTTGAGCATTCAGCTCATTAGCAAGCAGAGCATGAAGTGCCATGTGATATGACTAAAGAATTCAGAGTTTAGGAGGCAAATATGCAAAGTCCAATCTTAAAAATCACAAAAGGTTTATTTACAATAATAACAACTGCATTTCTTAATAGTAAAGAACTGGGTCTGAGCTACTCTAACACCCATCTCTTCTCAGGTTTAAAGGAGGGAAAAACACCAATCACTACAGCTTTCCTGACACAAAAGCAGAGAGAGATCTCAAAGCACACAGCACATACTAAAGCGCAAGAAGGCAGAAGTCAGATTTAAAAAGCTTGCAGTAGAAAAGTATCCATTTTAAACAACTAATCAGAATGAGAGCAAAAACAGAGGAGAGAAGAAATTGGATTTATTTATTTATTTAAAACTTTTATACCCCAATCTTCTCTACCTCCATAGAGGGACTCCAACCAGCTAACAACAGAAAATCAATACACAAATACAACTAAAAACATAATAGAATCATAATAAGTTAAAATACAAACAAAATACATACATATAATTCTACAACAACTGCATTGGCTACCAATAGAACATTGGATCTCTTACAAGATACTGATCCTGACATTTAGAGCTCAAAATGGCCAAGGACCTTTATATCTTAGGGACCGCCTCATTCCTTTTTCCCATCAGTGGTTACCTCGATCCACCCAAGAAAATCTCCTATACATACCAGGCCCTAGGGAGGTACACCTGGAAGCTACACGGTGTAGAGCTTTTTCGATCTATGCTCCAATTCTGTGGAACTCATTGCCTCCATACATTAGAGCAATGTCGGAGTTGCGACCTTTTGTAAAAGCGCTCAAGACTTGGCTGTTTGGTTGTGCATTTAAGTAAAGTGATCAGATCTAATTTGCCAAATGGTCACTGTTGAATGTTTTTATGTTGAATGTTTTTATATTGTGTAAATGCTATTTTAAATTGTAAGTCGCTCGGAGCACCTTGGTGGAGAGCGACTAATTAAGAAGTGAAGTGAAGTGATATAAGCCAAATCGCCAAGATAAAATCACGTTCATCTCAATCCGCCAGTGTGGTCAGTAGTTATTAGATTATTGCTGAACTCAACCAATTATTCTGGGAATGCTATGTCCCAGAGCCAGGATTTCAGTAGCTTTCTGAAGGTCACTGTCATACAGGAGATATGGGGGAAGAAAAACGCTTAGTCTATACTAAACTAACTAAACTGTTCCTCACTGAGGACTTGAGACTTGGGCAGTGTGAGGTTGAATTCCAACAATCCTCTTCTTCAATCTTAACTGCACAAGTCTATAAGGTTCATCACTTTCTTTAGTGTTTGTCTTTCCTCCATTGCTGATAATGATCCTTACTGAAGGCTTCTTTTCTATGTATCCCAATTGTTCTCATTCTTTTCCTAGGGTTTTCTGCCAGATCCCACAATGAACCGCCTTCTTCCGGGACCAGTAGGGGCTGAGAATGCCCAGAAACGAGGCCGCCAGGCCCCCATGGAGTTCTCCAACATGATGGCTCTGATGGGAGCCGGCCGGGTCCAATTGGGAGCTGCCGGGCCCCTCTCCTTGCACCATGCCCACTTCCAAGCCGGCCCAGCTCATGCCTCTCCCTTGCAGTACATGCCCTTTTCTACCGCTGCCGCCACTGCTGCCGCTGCATCCTCCTCCGGTGCGCTGCTCCACCCTGCGCTCGGCCACGCCGGCTACGTCACGGCCCCCTTGCACCTGAGCCACGTTCAGCCTGTCGACGACGATGATGACGAAGACGAGATGGATGACTTGTCTCAAGGCTATGCCAGCTCGGAACGGGACTTCTCCTTGCTAGACGACGACCCGATGATGCCAGCCAACTCCGACTCCAGCGACGAGGGGGAAGAGGAGGGAGACGACTGAGCTTTTTGCGCCTCACTTGGGAACAGACGGATGGGCATGACGCAAGGCCAGCTTGGCTGGGACTAGCCGCCCCCTTTGATGTTGGATTTGACAGGCCAGAGACTCTGTGTCTGCTTGGGGCACGCGCCAGTTGAGTTCCCCTTGTTCCACGTGGCTCACAGGGAGGGTGGAATGGAGCCCTTACCCACCCAGCAACGGGCGGCTGGGCAACTGTCCTCCTAGAAGGGTGCTCTTATGTGTGGCTTCTCTTATGTTTTTTAAAAACACATGGCTGTTGGTGAGGTCAGTGAGTTTGGCCTCTCCTTCTGGCACTTGGTATCAATTGGGAACTGTCCTTGCAAGTCTTGATCTCCTTGGGACGGTAAAACCACAGCAGAAACCCACACCAAGGGATCCTGTCTAGCCAAGACGATCTGGGTATAGGTAGCAGCTCCCCTCTTTTTTCCCTCCCCGCACCTGCCCCCACCACCCTGCTCTCTTTCCCTCCCTCCCCAGGTTCACGTGCTGTAACATAAGTGCAAGGGGGGGGGGGTCAAACTCCTTTCCTTTCCCTCCGTCCCCCTGTCTCTGTGTGGGTGGGGTTTATATTTATAAATATGTAATATGTCTTGTGTAATATGGCCGAAGCTGTGGGAATGAATTATGAGGGGAAGTCAGGTCACAAAGTGGGTGGGTTTCGGGGTGGCCGGGGGGCTGTGAGGGAAGAGAAGATAGAGTTTCCTGTAGCTGGATTCTCCCTTTTTTTCTTTTCTTTTTTTAATAAAAAGAACCAAATGGACAAAAAAAAAATTCTCCAAAACCTACTCTTTCATGCTACTGCAGAGCTTTACGAACGTTTCATGTTGGTGACACGTATTTAGACTCGAATCCTTTTGCAACATGGTACTTTAGTTTTACTACCAAGTTTAGTTTCATACGAGGGTTATCCAGAAAATAAGGTTACAATATTTTTTTAAAACCCAAAGAGTGAATATATTTTAATAATACTTACATGGAGTGTAGCATAGGGATTACATTATTTTTCCACGTAATTACCATTCAGTTCGATACATTTTGTCGTCTATGGGATCCTCTCACTTCTGCAGGGGTCTACCGGATACCATGCAGCTGTGGCCAAGTCCACATAGGGACTACCAAACGCAGCATTGCCCAAACACGAATCAAGGAACATGAAAGGCACTGCAGACTACTTCAACCAGAGAAGTCAGCCATAGCAGAGCACCTGATGAACCAACCTGGACACAGCATATTATTTGAGAACACAGAAATGCTGGACCACTCGAACAACCACCATGTCAGACTACACAGAGAAGCCATTGAAATCCACAAGCATGTGGACAATTTCAACAGAAAGGAGGAAAACATGAAAATGAACAAAATCTGGTTACCAGTATTAAAAAAAACTCTAAAAATAGAACAGCACAACAACAGAGAGGAAACAAACAAGGACATCTAATCACCTCTCAACAAAAGATTGTTCCAGGCACTGCCAGGCAATCAAATGCTAATCAAGGTGGTCAGTTGAAACATTCACACCTAGCTCCAGCAGACAAGAGTCCTTTGTCCCACCCTGGTCATTCCACAGATATATAAACCCTTTTCCTAGTTCCAACAGACCTCACTACCTCTGAGGATGCTTTCCATAGATGCAGGCGAAACGTCAGGAGAAAATGCCTCTAGAACATGGTCATATAACCCGAAAAAACCTACAACAACCCAGTGATTCCGGCCATGAAAGCCTTCGCCTTCATCACTTGGATTTTCACCTCATTTGCCAGAAAAATGTTTTCCATCAAGGTATTCTTTAAATTTTGTGAACAGATTATAGTCGCTGGGTGTGAGATCGAGGCTGTGAAAGGGGTGGCTTAAAACATCCCAACCAAATGAAGTCAACAACTCTTGTGTTGCATGAGCGGTGTACAGACGTACATTGTCATGAAGGAGAAAGATTCTCACCATCAGCATCCCACAACATTTGTTTTGGGTGGCTCTGAGAAGTTTCTCCATGGTCTCACAATATATTCCATACCCATTTTGTCACATGCTGTCTTGACATTATGTCCTCTCCATAAACTGAAACAATTTCGCAATGAATCGCAGCAGCGTTCATGCCCTTAGCATTTAGGTAGTGTATTACACCACAAACTTTGCACTTGGAGGGAAATGGAATGAGAATGCTCATCTCTAACGTTCACCACAACACCAGTCGATGGGCTACGGACTGGCACTGCTCGTTCACTTCGGCTGGCTTCCCACTATACGGCAGTGATACCAGCTTCCCCTGAGAAAATTCCCTGAGAGAGCTACGTGCCTTGTAACCTTACTTTCCGGATAACCCTCATAGATACACACATACACAATATTTGGGGGAAAATCCTTTACACTTCTTTTATATTGCTGTCAATTATTTTGCAGTTTCCTCTATGGCCACTCCAGGTGGTTCCTCACAAATATCATTGTCAACAGATTTTCTTAATTAGAAACTTAGTGATTTTGCTGGTAATTATTACAACTCAGGGCCATGGTGGTGCAGTGGATTAAACTGCTGAGCTGTAGAACTTGCTGACTGGAAGGTCGGCAGTTCGAATCCATAGGACAGGGTGAGCACCACTGTTAGTCCTAGCTTCTGCCAACCTAGCAATTTGAAAACATGCAAATGTGAGTAGATCAATAGGTACCGCCTCAATGGGAAGGTAAACTGCCCTGTGCAGTCATGCTGGCCACGTGGCTTTGGTGGTGTCTATAGATAACGCGGGCAGATAGGATTGTTGTGTGCTTTCAAGTCATTTCAGACTTAGGTTGACCCTGAGTGAGGGCTGGGTAAATGACCTTGGAGGGCTGTATCTGGCCCCTGGGCCTTAGTTTGGGGACCCCTGCCCTAGAGTAAGACTTGACTAGACTCAATGTTGAGGGGAAGCCTTTACTTTTACCTTACTGCAACTCAATTAACAAACTGTGCAAATTATGAAACTTGTAACTACTTTCACTTGAACAGCATCAGCACTCTACTTGTGTAGAAATTAAACCCCTCTGGAGGTTTTTAACCCAAGGCTGGATGGCCGCCTAGAGGGACTGTGTCTTCCTGCCTGGCAGAAGTTGGTTGGACTAGATGTCCTTTGGGGCGTCTTTTCCAGTGGAGTCTCCTTCCCTAGAGGTTTTTGAACAGAGACTGGATAGATGTCTGTTGACTGTGTCTTCCTGCCTGGCAGAAGGGACTTGGACTGAATGCCAGGCAGCCTTTGTTTGTGGGGGAAGCATATTTTAAGTGACACACCTGTGGACTACAGGCGATACACTAGGTCAGAGGTCCTCAAACTTTTTAAGCCAAGGGCTGGTTCATGCTCCCTCAGACTGCTCAGAGCACCTCACACTGCACATATCTTATTTGTAGTGCAAAAACTCATGAAAGCACAATACAATATTTAAAATGAATAGCAATAGCCTGCTTTTGGCTGATGAGAGAATCAAATTAATGAGAATTGCCATGTGCCTTCAAGTCATTTCAGACTTAGGGCGACCCTAAATCTAAAGTTTACACTGGGAAACAGATTAATGACCTTAGCCGCACCCAGCTCGCAGGCCTTCATATGCTGACTCTTGCACTAGTGTGTCCTGGCACACAGTTTGGAATAATAGTAATAATGATAATAATAATAATAATAATAATAATTATTGTCGAAGGCTTTCATGGCCGGAATCACTGGTTGTTGTAGGTTTTTTCGGGCTATATGGCCATGGTTCTAGAGGCATTCTCTCCTGATGTTTCGCCTGCATCTATGGCAAGCATCCTCAGAGGTAGTGAGGTCTGTTGGAAGTAGGAAAATGGGTTTATATATCTGTGGAATGACCAGGGTGGGACAAAGGACTCTTGTCTGCTGGAGCTAAGTGTGAATGTTTCAACTGACCACCTTGACTGGACAAGTCTACACAGGGACTACCAAACGCAGCATTGCCCAAACACGAATCAAGGAACATGGAAAGGCACTGCAGACTACATCAACCAGAGAAGTCAGCCATAGCAGAGCACCTGATGAACCAGCCTGGACACAGCATTTTGTATTTGAGAACACAGAAATGCTGGACCACTCTCACAACCACCATGTCAGACTACACAGAGAAGCCATTGAAATCCACAAGCATGTGGACAATTTCAACAGAAAGGCAGAAACCATGAAAATGAACAAAATCTGGCTACCAGTATTAAAAAACTCAAAAATTACAACAGCAAAACAAAGAGTAAACAATCAGGCACATCAAATCACCTCTCAACAAAAGATTCCCCCCAGGCACTTCCAAGCCATTAAATGCTAATGAAGGTGGTAAGTTGAAACATTCACACCTAGCTCCAGCAGACAAAAGTCCTTTGTCCCACCCTGGTCATTCCACAGATATATAAACCCATTTGCCTACTTCCAAGGGATCTCACTACCTCTGAGGATGCTTGCCATAGATGCAGGCGAAACATCAGGAGAAAATGCCTCTAGGCCATGGCCATATATCCCGAAAAAACCTACAACAATCCAGTGATTCCGGCCATGAAAGCCTTCAACAATTCTGGCATTGTATATTTCTGCCACTTCTGTGATTGTTCATTTGTATTTTGATTCTGTAGCCCACTTGTCAATGGATGTCCAGAATCAGCAACATCCACCACAGTCCTTTTTATCCAGTATAGACTTTGTTTTGGTTTGCTTCTCCATAATGCTAATGAGTTAGGTGCTCTTAGTTCCACTCCTCAGCTGAGACCTTTCTGGCTTGGTTGGACCTGCTGGTAGTTACACTACCACCAGCATAGCTCTCTGCGTCCTTGGAGCAGTTAAGACCCCCACCACGACAAGGTGGCACCCCAGTGGTCATTGGCGCACTGGGTGCCGTGCCAAAATATCTCAGCCAGCATTTGGAAGCAATAAACATCAACAAAATCACGATCTGTCAACTGCAAAAGGCCATCTTACTTGGATCTGTGCGCATCATTTGAAAATACATCACATAGTCCTAGGAACTTGGGAAGTGTTCAACTTGTGATTTTGTGATACGAAATTCAGCATGTAGATCTCATTTGCTGTGACATACTGTGTGCTTTTTTGTCAATACATCTTTATTCATATGCTGCTTTTCTCCCACAGTGGGGACCCAAATGAGCTTCCAACATGGCAAAGTCAAAGGTATAACTATAAAACATTGTAAGCATTCCTACTTTCCAACAGGCCTCTCAACCTCTGAGGATGCCTGCCATAGATGCAGGCAAAACTTCAGGAGAGAATGCTTCTAGAATATGGCCATACAGCCCGGGAAAACTCACAACAACCCAGTAATTCCAGCCATTAAAGCCTTCGAGAATACATTGTAAGCAAAACTCTTTGCTATTGTATCAATTGCATAAGAATATTCCTAAAATTTGAAACATGTCTCAATGTGTTTTCTTTCCTTCCTGTTTGAGGCTGGAAATGGGAGGAAGAGGCCTTGTACTTCTGAGGCCCCGTCTACACTGTCAATAAACTTGCTTTGAACTGGATTATATGGCAATATAGACTCATATAATCTGCTTTGATAATATGGATGAAATGGTAGTGTAGTAGTGGCCTGAGATGACATTTCTTCAGGACTCCAGTACGTGTGAAAAAGATCTTGGAGTCTTCGTGGACAACAAGTTAAACATGAGCCAACAATGTGATGTGGCGGCAAAAAAAGCCAATGGGATTTTGGCCTGCATCAATAGGAGCATAGTGTCCAGATCTGGGAAGTAATGCTACCCCTCTATTCTGCTTTGGTTAGACCACACCTGGAAT